TCATGTCTAATGGAATCGAACGCTTTTGAGAGATCAATACATGTAAGAGATACGGCTTTTTTATTGTCAATACCGTTATAAATGTCAAGAAGAATATGAGCTGTCGCGACTTCAGCATTTGAATTTTTAACGAAGCCGAATTGATTGCAATTGATAATATTATTACTGTCCAAATGATCTTTTTTTTTTATAATTATGAAATTTTATATTTTTTTATTAGAATATGAAAGATATCTAAGAATAAAGATTTACAAGTTATCAAATTTTCTTAAGAATTGACAAATATCTAAAATCTTCATTAATAATTCAAGACCTTTCAAGTTTTTAAAAAAATAAAATTTTAAATCCAATAATCCTAAAGTAAAAAGAAGACGAAGCAAATCATATTCATACTTTAATATAATAGACTTTAGCTTTAGATCTTAATAGAGTTAAAATATACATTTTTGAATATATATTTGTCATCATAAACCAGCAATTTACAACTAAGTAAGGAAAATAAAGAAGTAGCAAAAAAAATATCTTTTTATCTTAAGAAAAATTATATTTTATCGTGCATCCCAATAAAAAGAAATAAAAAGCATCACGACAGAAAAAAAATTCATTTCTTTTCAAAAGATCATTTTTTTATCATTCCTTTCACTTTTTAGTGCTTTTTATCCTTTTTTGCTCTACCCCAGGAATGAATGAATGGAAAAGGAAGAAAAAAAATTATAGCGAAATTTATATTTTTTTATCTGTTTTGATGATGAAATAAGAAAGCAAGCAGGAGGAGATGAAAAAAAATGTTTTAAAAAATAAATAAATATAAAAAGTAAAAAAAAAAGAAATAAACATGCATAGGATATAAGTACAAGATGAATTTCCTTCTTTTATGTTTTTTGTGTTATAATAAAATCAGCATTTTGAGTATTCATTCCATCAACTTCTGCTCACTGTGTCGTTTTTTAGCACGAGTAAAAAAGGTTGTTTCTTTTCCCATCCATCCTAATCCTGCCTGAAAAATTATGACTCCCAAATAAAAAAAAAAAAACAAGAATAAGAAGTAGAAGCGGAAATGGTGGTGGTTGTGGAAACTTTTAGATATTTTTCGCTCATTTCGCATTTTTATTCATCTCCTTTTTTTGTGTGTGCCCCCTGTATTACAAGCAAGCAAGACATTAAAATTTTTTATTTCGCATTCGAGATCATAAATATTTTACTATCTACCGAGAAATATACTCGTATAATATACGAATTATTTATCTTTTTCTTTAGCATTCTTTTCTAATGTCAGAGAATCAAATTTATAATGTCCGTCGTATGACCAAGACTGTCTTCCTTAAATTGAAATAGATACAAACTTAACAAGCTTAATTACGAACATATTGAGCTAGAAAACTGTCGAAATGGTTTTGGAAAATTTTAAAAAATAACCTTTTGTAAAATACTTTCAATAAAAATTTGGCTGTAGCTTAAGATCCACTGCAATAGCTTTTGGGTTAAGGTCCTGAAACTTAAATAATTTATTCCAACGCAATCAAAATAAACCAACAATAGTAAATTGAAATAAATTCAAAATTAAACAGTCAAAATCTCATAGATCTAAGAATCCAGCTACACAGATAAACAAAAAAGTTTAATTTCAAATTGCTCGCGAGATTTAATCAAGATTGACAAAAAAAAACTTAATAATTAAAACAGAAATAATGTTTCAATTGAGTGAAAGGTTGGCTATAAATTGATTGCATCTTCAAAATTAAAGTTAAGGAAATCAAAAATAACTATTCAGCATAAAACAATTCCTCGTGGCTTTTAGATGATCTTAGAAGATAATCTTTTAAATAAATTGATTCAGACTCAGTTTTTCCTACTTCTAAATGTTCAATAGATGAAGTCTGCTAATTGCAAACTTGTCTAAAGATTTGAATTCAATTGCTAATCCAAGTCATGAAAACTTAACCTAATTCAATTACAAGATCATTCGAAAAATGCGTCATTACAAATGCTTTGAGCAAGACAATCTCAAACTGACTTTTTTGTAGCTGATTGTTCTTGATTATATCCCCAAACACAAATGCAAACAACGCACCATTCATTTCGGGTCTCTTGTTCCCATACTCAAAATAAATGGATTTACAGACACTGAACGTCCAAAGAACCTTAAAAAAAGTATAACTTTTCTAATAAAAAGTGCTCATCAATAACCCCACAGAATAATGAAGTCGTCTCATCTAGTTTCTTATTGTCATCTCTCATACCAAGCCTCTCTGAGCTCACTTTATTTCAACCCCATTTTCTGCAATATATTTTTTAATTTCCTTCGAAATTTTCCATTTGGCGCTTAGATTTATGGATCAATTTTATGGATCGTAATATTTTTCTACAGCTTACTTTTTTTTCTTTCACTCCAAATGGTTGTAATTTTCTAACTGTTGTTAAGATGATGAAACTTTATGTCTTTATATCGCCTCTTGCTCTTTCTTATTACTGCTGTTCGTATTTTTACTTCTATTTGGCATTAAAAAATTATTATTTGCTATTTTACTTTTTTTATATGACGCTCTAACTTTCTAGAAAATTTTGAACAGCTAATTATGAAGGAAACTTTTTTAATATCTTCACTTCTACTTTACTTTTTTTTGGTTATTTCAGCAAGTTAGAACAGAAGTTGGCTGTATTGCTATAATTTTTTGAGAGTAAGTTTTAACAAATTGAATTTTCTATATAAGTTTTGTAATATTTCAACTTAATTCCTTTTCTTCATCGTTGACTTTATATAATAATGAGAAGAAACAAACTCCTGAATTGTAAGACAGCTCAGGAACTTTATTTCTCTTCCATAGATGTTCAACTGATTCATATGAGTTATAAAGATACAATATGGCACAGAAAAGGATCTTCAAACTGTTTGTGATCTAAACTTAAGGTTGGTTCAATATTTTCATTATTATACAAAAACCAATCAGTTGTAAATGTTCTTAAAATTACAAAAATTAATTGAATCAATACAAACTGAAACTTTATACGGCTTGTAATTTAAAAACGTCATAATATAAGTAAAACATCCAACGCAATGCTCCAAAAAAATCAATTTTCAACAACCTATCATTCCCTGAGAGACCTTGAACTTCCTCAGACTTCTCCCAAATCTTAAAAACAAGAGCATTTGAAATCCATTTTAAGAAATTAATATTGTATTATTTCTGAGAATATTTTTATTCTTTTATTTTGAAATCGTAAACCATGCTTTTCATCCAAAATGAGGCATACAAATTGATGATTTCTTAGAATTTAAGGTTATTTCTAAACAATTAATAAAAAATCTTGCGAAAAAGCTCTCATTATTACAGATTAGAAATGTTGCAAGTTAAGTTGTTAAATTTTGCAATTTTCTAAGAATTTATTTGCAAAAATTGTTGAATTTGATGGAATATTTTAAAAATAATTCTCTAGAAAAATCAATTTACTCAAATTACAAATATCATGTAGCAACAATTCTTTGTTATTGAATATTCAAAAAACAACTTGACTTTAAGGTTTTAACAAATAATTGTTGTCTTCAAAACTGAGCTGAAAAATTGTTAATGTTCCTAAAACATTAACAATCCAACAATTTTTGGACACAATTAAGGAAAATAACTTACAAGTTTAACTTAAAAAAGTTTCGAAACAATTTTTCTGAATTGAAGAAATTGACTCAAATTTTGATCGATTCCCAAAAAAATACATATTGCATCAGACATCATGCAACGATGCATCATCGTGCTCCACAATCAAAAAAGTTCCCGTAACTTCTTTTTGATCAAATTATTACGATGTACTCTTCAATGGTATCAATGATAGAATAATATATCAATGAGAATACATCATTGGATATAAAAAGAATAAATGAAATTCATCATTCATTGGAAGTTAGAAAGAAGGAAAGGAAGAAAAAAATCAAACAGAGAAGCAAGAAGAAAAAGAAGAAGGAACAAGCATCAATTGATAAAAAAAAAGAAAGTTGCAGTTGATTACAAAACAAATCCTCTGATTCCTTCTTATCCCATAAAACTTGCAGACATGCGTGCGTATTGGTGAGACAAATTCTTTAGGAAAATCCTCTACAAAATATGTGCCGCATTGCTCTCACTAAACTTTTCCGCTCTCACTTCGCATACAAGTTTTTCACATTTCAGCTGCTACCTTCTTACTCTTTTTGTTCTGTCGAATCAACAGAATAGTGAAAGTGAAATAACACATTGCGTTTCTTTCGGATGTGTACATAAATGTTCGGATCTCACTCGGCTTCGTACACAATCAAAGAATCCTTTTTTTCGCTCTTATGTATTTTAGGCACTACGAATGGTAATTTTCTTCCCCTGACTGCAAGTTTTCATGAATGAAATTCATCAAGCTGCATCAGGATTGATACTATTTGTTAAATGGCCATAAACTGACTTAGATAACTTTGATTAAGGATTTAAATTGAGATTTTGTGCATATAATATGACTTAAAATGACGTGATAGTTCAAAATAAGTGAATTTAAGGTTCTTAAAAGGAAATTTTGGAAGCACATTGAATAAAATTCAAAGAAAAGGACGTTAAAGTTTCCATATTCTGATAAGAGATGGCGCAAGTGACGTTTAAGAGAAAATTTGGATTTTCAGGATATACAGGCATGATTTGGCACGCAAAAGACACTTAATTCTGATAATCGTTATTATGTTAAACTGATCTCTTCATTGAAATAGATTTTATAAGAAATTTTTTTTTCAAACTTACCTTCAAACTTACAAGCATCATATTTAAATACGTCCTTGACATTTTTCGCACTTTAATAACTCAATTTTAAAACGTTAAATTTAAATGAATTTACTTTCACTGCAAAAAATCATCACTACGATTTCAACAGTTTATTTGAAAATTTTACAATGAGTTTTTACAAAAACCTCAGGAACATTTGAATTCTACAAAACCGTTAAAATTTTAAAAAGTATTAATCAAAATTTGAGTAATTAACGTGATTAAAAGTGTGAGTCCTTAACATTTTGACATTGTAAAACAACATGAAGGAACAACAATCATCAAAAAGTTCAAAGAGTCAATTAAGATTTTAAATAATTCAAATTTATTCGTAAGACATTTAAATCTTTAAGTGACAATACATAAAATTGTAAGTGATTAAAAAGTAAGTATTCAAAACTTCTCAATATTCGCGATCCTCAAAGTCGTGCCTTCTAATTATTATTCAATTACCCATTTGATTCATCATTTGATTTGGTTGCATTGGATTATGCTGTTGATCCATAGGATTCATTTGTTGTGGAATTTGTTGTTGTGGCTGCATAAATTGTCCAGGCATATTTCCAGGAATATTAGCAGGCATATTTCCAGGCATATTAGGTCCCATCATATGAGGTGGAACTTGCATTTGTTGTGGCTGTCCTTGCATCGGTAAAGTCAAATTTGCCAATAAATATAAAACAGCAGCATATAAAGTCGGTTCTCCTGTATTCATTCCTTGTCGTTCCTCATAAAATTTCCTCAATTGCATGCTTACTGCCTGCATTACAATAATCGGTGTATTTACATCTCTTCTCTCAGCAAGCTGTAATACATGTGCAACCATATCGTAAATCATTGGAAATACGATACTTTGTTGATTATTTGGTTGATCAGTTATTCGAGTTAGTTCCAACTGCGAAATAGAAAATATAAATATGAAATATCAATAACGTAGGATCAAAAGTGAGATAAATTAATCATTTGATTAGATTTAAAACTCAACTTAAATCCCATGATGGACTGGATATGAAAATACATCAATTATATGCTAATAAACATAGTCAAAAGAACTTACGAAAAATAACAGCTTATTCTTTGTATTAACCATAGCTGGTGCACCCAAAGGAATAATTGGTAGCACAGAGAATGAGGCTCTTAATGAAAGTGTCACAGTATAATGAAGTCCCATAGATTTACATTGTTCAGCCTTCATGTCCAATCTCAATATTTGAATTATATCCTTCAAAACATAAGGTGGAATTACAAAGAACTTAATAAAGACATACATTGATGACTGACGATAAGGAGGCGATGCAACTTTTTGTTCAAAGTATGTCTCTAATGTCTGTAAATCATCATGATTCCATTGATATGGTGGTTTCATGTCTTGTGGGCCCATCATAACTTGCGAAACTTTGACGTGCAGCGACTGCATGTGATCTGGATTTGAGAACACTTGACATTGAAGTCCTTCAACACGGAACAAGATTACACCAGGCTCAACAGTCGGCGACTGTGCAAAGTTCTGTAGTAAAGAGATAGTTAAATTATGAAATAACTCCGTTATTTTTAACGAGTTTTTTGTTTTTGAAAAATAATTGCAAGTTTAAAAAAAATTTCAACCGTTATTTTTCAAATATTATTCAACCGTTTTTTATCACAAAAATTAAGGAATTAAAACTTACACTCTCTTTAACCATTCGTTGCAATTGTCTCTTCATAAACACACATCCCAAAAATCTTTCAAGTGGGCTCATATCAGGTCCCGGAATTCCATTTAATGGACATGGTTTGCAAAGAATCTCAAAAGCTTCTTGTGTTAAAAGTGTTGGAATTGCTCCAGCCCAACTTCGTGCAGGCAAAACTCTTAAATGATGTGGTGCTGATATTTGCGAAGATTTATGATCAGGTGATTGTCCAGGACGTGGTGATGGTCTAGGAGGCATTCCTGGAGATGCTGGCCATGCTGAGGCAGCAGCTGGTGACATTTGAGCTCCAAATGGACTATCAGCATGTCCCTGTAAATAGATGTTTGGCCCAGGAGACATTGTCATTGGACTTGGTTGATTTAATGGAGATGAAGGAGGCATAAATCCAGGCGATGGATGTGGAATATGAGTCGGTGGGGATGTCATGTTAAAATTTGGATGTGAACTTTGATGCTGAGATGTTGGATGTGGACTGGCTGGTGTATGAGGATTAGAATTTGAAGGGGGTGTTGCTGGAGCTGCAAATCTTAATCCAGAATCTATTCTAGGGCTTGCTGGCCCTCGAACACCTCCCCATTGTGAAGTTTCATCTAATTGAGGTATTGGAGATGGTGGATTATCATCCTCAGATTGTGATCGTCGACGATAAACAGCATTTTCATCAACATATTTCGATAAGAATCCTTTAAGACCTTGTGTTGGAATAAATTCCATAACAACATTTACACGATCAAAACGACTATAAGCTCCATCACGAATAGAAACTAAGCCACCACCTCTTAATCGAATTTCCAAACAATAAACTCCTTGGAATGCAATTCTCAATAATGTCGGTGATTGTGGTATTATGCAGAACGATAATACAGGAATTTTAGGATTTGGGATGCCAAGTTGAGGAATTACAGGCAATTTGCCAATTGATGATAATGGCTGGTGACTTTCGTGTAAAATGTGAACAATTTGTGCTAAATTATGATGAGTATTTAAATGACTTTGTAATTGATCCTTTAATAATGTATGTGGATTAACATACAAGTTACTTCCAGTAAAAATCATTTGAAATTGCTTTGTCTCATCGGACCATTCAATATTTACACAATATTCTTTCTGCATTCCATAAAGAAGCACGAGACTCGTATAGCTATAAGACTTGATTGTCACAATATTCTTCAAATTATATTTGTCAGCATTATAAAGTTCAGCAAAGTCATGAATTAATGCATATAACAGAACAATTTTCATCCAATCACTCAACATTGCATCAATTGTTTTTCCGACACATTCAACAGGTAGCATTTCATATTGAAAATAAACTGCACGTCTCTGACCTTGTTCCTTATAATGAACAGTTTGTAATGGTGTGCTGTAAAATATCAATTCAAGGAGCCAAAGACGAGGCAAATTTGTCTTGTGAACCTGCGTTCTAATCGAAATTGATAAAAGTCGCTTCATCAATGCATTATAAATTGATTTAGTGACAAATGATTGAAGAAACAGCTGCTTTTCATAATGATTTTGTTTTGGCGGTTCACTCTTTTCTGTTTTGTCCTTTTCTGGCGATGTTTTATCAAGTGACGTTGTATGAATATTTATGTCAAATGGCGATGGAAGTGTCAATAAATTCAAAACTAACGATGACGCATGAGCCTCATCCTGTAAAGAGAAGAATTGAAATCACTACTTTTTGACAGAATTAAGAAAATCCGTTAAATTTTCAAAAATTAAGTGGTGTTAAAATAAGTAGTTAAAAATTCAAACTTTTGAAACCCGTTAAGTTTCAAATATTTTTTGCCTGTTATTTTTGACATTTTTAAACAGCAAGATGTTAAACTTTACCTGTAATCCACTGTGAGGAATATTTCTTTTCGTCAATTCTTGTGCGATTGCGACTAATGGAAGCTTTTCATCACACATAGCAACAACATGTGCCAATTCTGGGATGAAATAAGCTGGAGAGACTGTTTTGGCTTGTTTAATCGGAGGTCCTGAACTATCACCCAATTTTCTTTTCAAACCAATATCATCGTCATCACTCTTTTTAATTACATTCGTGCCTGATCCATGAGTAGCAACAAATGTGTCAAATTCAACCATTGTCATAACTCTTAAAAACATTTTCGGAATATCGCTACTCGATTGACTTGGTGCACTGCTTGATGTAGTTCCTCCATCTAGTAATTGCTCATCTGAATTAGTATCCATAATAGGGACGTGCTTAATATAAACCAAATAGAACGTATATTCCATTTCATTAGTATTCGATTCCTTCGATTTAAATCCAACAATAAGGATGACATTAGAATGTCGATGTAACTGAATAAACATTTTATGTCTTCCAATTTTTGTTGCTGGATGTGCTGGAGAAGTAATAATTGGTAATCGTTCCTTTGCTGATGCTGGCAAATGCTGCAAAGTTTTCTCACAACGTCTCTTAACAAGCCAATAACGAAGTTCATTTACTAAATCTGGCAATTTTGTATGATCTGCATTAAGTGCAGCTTGCATGTCATTCATAATTGAGCATTCTGGATGTTTTGGGACATGACAATGATATCGGCCTGTATGAGTATCCACAGTAATATGAATTTGTTCAGCACGAAGGCATGGAGTTAATACAGGAATTGTCAATATTGCAGTTGTTCCTTGTAAATTACTTTCAACGTCTTTCATAAATGATTTAAATTCAGTTTGCATATCCGTCAATCGAGCAACACTTCGGAAATAAACTGTGTGGACCAAAAGTCTTTCCATAGACAACATTTTCACTGCTAATTCAGTTTTTTCGCGAACTTTTGGTTCACAATCTTTTGTTCCTAAAGAAGTCGATGGAAAGTGAAAAACAGCCAAATGATTTGATGGATCTGACTGAATAGTTATGCGATATCTCATTTCAGACTTATTTCCTTCCTTACTTCCTGATAATTCACGCCAATATGATACAGTCAACTTATTTCCAAGCGAATATTCATCAACATGAATATTATCATCTAATCGATCGCGACATAAACGCAAAGTTTGTGTATAAAGGACTTCCAATTGAAGTGATTGACAGAAATAGTGGAGACAATTGTAGACTTCACTTAAAGCCATTTGCTGATTATTATTAACAAGACGTCTCTGAATCAGTTCATGAATATAATTTACTTGTAAATTATGGACCAATGGACGTCCATCACCAGTTTCTTTGTCTTCAACTAAAATGTCAATATCTAAAAGACGCCAAGGAACGTCACTTGCATCGCCCATCATTGTTAGTGATACAGAAAACTCATTTGGAACATTAAATGTCACACGACCTTTCTCAATTTTAAATTTCTTGAGTTGTGGCAGCAAATTTCCCGTTACAAGACGATGCTGAATAACTTGATTCAATCTTGCCAAAGTCGTGTCTACTTCTTGTGGCAAAATCGGGTCTGGTTTAACGAGATTTTCTCTGAAATTATTGAATATTAATTATATAATAATGCAAAACATAAGATTATTAAGAAACTTACTTGATGCACAAAGGCAGTCGATTATAGGATCCAGTTGTAAGGACTTCAACAGCAGCTGGAATATGGAAAGACGGCAATCGTGCATGAACAAGCGTTTCACGAGCCATTTTTGTCAACAAATCTGCAGTATCGATGAATAACATTGATTGTTTCTCCAAGAAACTCATGATAAGCTGCAAAATAAACAAATCATGAATCATTTCATTTATTTTCAAGACCAGCTAATGACTTACGGTCGATTTGTCAACTTTAGAAGCTGAATTAGCCCATTTAACAAGTGCAAGAAGTCTGATGAACAGTTGTCGCGTTCGAGCAGCGAAATTGTAGATTTCTGTTAATGATGATTAAATAGAACAATAATTTCGCATTATTATGTAATTAATTACCAATTTTCCGCTCCATATCCGTTTTTCTCGGCAACCTGAAATAATAATAAAGAACATGTTAATATTATTCACGTCATCAAATCGATAGAGTAACTTACAGCTCAGCCAAAATAGTGAGATCATGATAAGTTCTTTGAACGATGAAATCTATGAGCATTGACAGTGAAATGGAACCGCCGGTGACATCTTGCATCATAGCACTAGAAATATTAAATGGGATTTAGTATAAACAGCATAAATTAGTGATATTAATCGTCTATTATAAGAATTGAGCATTTGCGATATAGAAATATGCCCAGAAAGTGTAATAAATTAATACTAACGTTTGTGGAGGAGCTTGTTGTGGATTTTGTTGTTGCATTTCGATAGGTGGCATTTTAAAATCGATTTATTTCACTTTATCGGTGTTTTTGCGCGATTATTTCACTATCCTTTTGATTACTGAAATATTAAATACACGGTTGACTACTTTTTAATCAATTTAAGACGGTATTTCCATAGTTTTTAATAAAATCAAAAATTTAATGTTGACTTTTCTGAAGCTATTTTTAAGAAAGTCAGGATTTCTACACTACATCAGTTTGAATTTAAAATGATCGTTAAATTGTTTTCATGCACGATTTTTTTAAATGCGCTTTGTCAAATCAGCCTTAAACATTTTTAACTGCTTTTTATAAACATTGGTAATTTGCCGATCAAAACAAAGTGAGAAAATTAATTATACCTGAAAAATGGAGATTAAGAATGAATGTAAGCAAAAAGAGGAGAAAAAAAAGTTTGTACAACGTAGTTTAGCTGATATCCAGAGAGCTAAGCTCAATAAATTAATGGAGAATCCGGTAATAAACAAATTTTTTTAAAACTTTTCAAATCGATTAAAACATTTAAATATTACAGGACAAGCCAGTGATTATACCTGAAAAAGATAAGCGAGATAAGGAATATGTACCACCAAGTTTCATTAGAAATGTCATGGGAAGTTCTGCGGGTGCTGGATCAGGTGAATTTCATGTTTATCGACATTTGAGACGGAAAGAGTATGCAAGACAGAAACATATGAAGCTCCTCAGTGACAAGGAGATACTTGATATTGAATTTCAAGATAAATTAGAGGAAAATCAACGAATTGCTGATGAAAAGACAAACAAAAAACGAGAAAAAAGACAAAAGAAGAAATCAAAGCAAAAAGGTAAGGCAAAGAAACCTAAAATTGAGGAACAAAAGAGCGAATCTGAAGATGAAGAATTGTCTGGAAATGATAAGGAAGGTTCAAATGACGACGAAAATTCACAAGGAAGCAATTTGAGCACTAAAATTAATCTAGCAGAAAACGAGGAAGACAGTCCACAAGTAATTGTACCACAAAATCCAGAATTGAGCTCTGAACAAGATTCAGAAATGTCTGAAGTAAGCACAGCAGTAGTTCCACAATCGAGCGCTGAAAAAGATCCAGAAGAGCCTGAACCAACCATTGAACAAGTTTCAGAAAAGCCAGAGCCGATTAGTTTAAATGATCCAGCAAGTGTTGAGGAGAAAGATACATAGGGAAATATATATTTTATTAATAATTTTTAAATATATTCATATGTTAAAGATAAATTAATTAATAAATTTCAGTCTGTGCATGTCGCAAATTATTGATTCCGATAAGTGTAGAGCTTTTTAATCCATTTATCAACTCGTTTATCGCTGTCACCTAAAAAGCTTGGATGAATTAAGCTTTCGTCTTCTTGAGTAGCTGCAGAAGTAGCTGGAAGCATAATTTTATCCATTTCAAGATCGACAATAATTTTACTGGATGACGACTGCTTAAATGCTGCCTGTTTAAATGAGTCGGATTCAATGTCTTCTAAAGCCTTTATTTTGTCCTTTTCTTTATAAAGATTATCCAAATCGAAGTTTTTGACTTGTTCTGCTGTTGGTGGTGATATTAAGCATAATTTCATGGAATCACAGAATCGATTATTTGACTTACGTTCTTTTTGCACTGATGTTGACTTTTTCTGATGAACTGAAGACGATCGACTTGAATGATTTGTTCGTGATTTACTTCTTGAGTCACTGCTTTGACTACTTGTGCTGCTTGAACGACTACGTGACGAAGAACTATTTGAGCTGGATGTTTCTCGTTGTTTGCGGCTACTTCTATATGAGCTTTTTTTCTTAGATCGTGACTTCTCTCGACGTGATCTGGACCTTTTTTCTAGATCTGATGAATCTGATGAATATCTAGTCTTTTTGCGGTGCCTTTCACCATAATCTCTTCTAGGCATTTTTGCGACTTTTTAATAAAGTTTTCTGTTGTTTGTATTAATATTTGTCGGCAAGTATGAAGTTCTTGTGATTTGATTGACTACAAAATGCGCATTGACTATCATAGAGCTCAAATAACATAGTTTCTGACAGTTCACGTGACATTGTTTAATCACGTGTGCAGTTGAGTGACAATTATTTTCTAACGGTTTATTGAAACTTAAATTATGTCCACGAGAGTAATCCTTTGCCAATTTTTTGCTTCGTGATTTATGGATATTCAATTATATTTTGACATGAATTAAAGCATTTCAAACGTTAATTGTACTCAAATTCGTATGCATTCATAAAATTAAAAACCAAAAATCTTAAAACAGCCATTACCGACAAACAAACGTTGACACTTTCAACGAAAAAAGATAACTGGTGCAGAATACGAGGAGCTTATAAAATTTCACAAGTTTCTTGATAAATAACATTTGAAAATTAACTTTAATTGAATTAAATACAATGGCAGATTTGGATCTAAGTGGAGGTGATCATAAAGTTGATTCCGAATTGCAGGAGTTCTTATTAGTTGAGAAACAGAGAGCTCAAGTTAATGCACAAGTAAGAATTTAATTTATCATCGATTATATAGCTTTAATTTTTTGATAATCTTTCAGATTCACGAATTCAATGACATTTGCTGGGATAAGTGCGTTGATAAGCCAGGATCAAAATTAGACAGCAGAACAGAAACATGTCTAAATAATTGCGTTGATAGATTCATCGATACATCACTTTTAATAACAAATCGTCTCGCTCAATTAATCCAAAAGCAATCGAGTGGATTATCATAAATAAGATTTCTGTAACAAATTAATGTAGATCCATAAAGTTGTCATCCGATTAAAGTATAGAAATAATAAAGAAATTAAAAACTACTTTACTGTATCTTTTTAACCTCGATTTTTTTACGGAATTTAAAGTGGTGCAGAAGTCTTGGCAAAAAAATAATAGACAAAAATCATAAATTTACATAATTTTTACTCAAAATGCAGCATTTAAGGCGTTCTGTAAGTTCCATTTCATACTTAAATCGATCGTCATTGTCAAGATGTACGAGATTCTTTGCAACATCCACTGAATTGGAAGAAAAAGTGGAAATTCCAAATTACATTCAACGATCACCAACAACAATTTTAAGAGCATTATCTCAAACTGTAGGCTTTGATCCAACAGCTGCTCATTATAAATACCATGATGATCCTTACTTGATTCCATTATCTAATGTTGGCAAGCGATCATTCGCATTAGCAATGGAATCTGGACGTAAATCTGCAAAATTTATTCGTCAACAACATAGCAACTTATTTCAGGTAAATTAATTAAATTTTATTTACTGGATCTATGTTAATAGATACTATTTGTTAGCATCGTGAAGCTGATCCACCAATTGAGGCATTTCTTCCAACTAAAATGTACACAATCGACAGTCAAGTAGAAATTTCGGATCTTACAACATCTATTGAGCATTCTCATGTTAGTGACGCGATTCTTGTGTATGCCTTGCTTAAAAAGAATAATGTAGAGTTAACTAATGATGTGAAACAATCACTTTTGGAATTATTATGCTTTTATAATTGTGAGGAACCGCTTGAAGAGGATATGATTGAAGAGAGATGGTTTAGACAGAATCAAAGATTAAAGGAACGCAATAGAAAAACTTGGAAAGACAATGACACAGCTGAACAATTGTATTATGAGATTGAACCAAAAACTCCTCAAACTTATGCTTGTATAATTCGTGGAATGTGCAAATACTATCAAGTCGAGAAAGCTTATGCCATTTTCCAAGATTGTTTAGCTAATAATATCAAATTAGACGTTGACTGCTTCAATTCAATCCTCAATGTTGTAAGATTCATTAAAGAAAGTGCTGATTTGAGGTGGTCGGTAATGCTAGATTTACTTAAAACAATGAAGGAAAAGGGAGTCAGTCCAAATCTTGGTACATTAAATGCATGTCTTAATTCCATCAGTGAAATGGGCTCCAAGAATGCTAAAGATTATGCCATTCAAATTATGACAGAATTCAAAAATATTGGAATTGAACCATCACTAGCCAGCTATTATCATATTTTACATACATTTTGTAAAGATCGAGGTCCAGTTTCACACGTTTTAGTAGACATACTTAATGAAATTGAAGGAAAAGAGTTTGAAATGCGTGACATTAAAGATACAATGTTCTTTGTTACAGCTATGGACGTTTGTAGAAATCATCTTTATGATTTAAACTTGGCAAAGCGTGTTGATGCCTTCCTTCATTTCGGCGAAAATTATAATTTAATTGGCGATTCCTACAAAGAATCAATCTACTATAGAAACTACTTTACATTGCTGGTTCAAGCAGAGCCATTTGATAAATTCATGGCTGATTATTATCATATTTTAGTTCCACATGTTTATATCCCTGAACCATCTGTAATGGAAGAAATACTTAAAGCTGTTGAAGTCACTGGAGCTATTGATAATATTCCACTTTTATGGTCACACATGATTTGTTTCGAGCAAATTAGTCGCGATAATTTACTTGCCCTTATCGTTCGTATTATGTTGCAAAATAAGCCAGACTTGACAATTAAGACACAAGAGAATTTAAAGGAAACATTTAGTCACATCGCATGGGATATTTGGAGTAAGATTGAAGAAAAGAATGAACTAAGATCAAAACCAGTTGTATGGACAGGCAAACTATTAGGAGACATTCTTCGAATAATTTGTACATCTGAAGATATCGACAGAGCATCAGTCATAATGGAAAAGCTATTAAATGATCAACAGAAAATATTAGGCGAATCGGATTACATTGCAATGGAAGATTATGTCCAATTGTGTATTACAAAGAAGCAGCCAAGTAAAGCGATTCAATGTCTTCAATATTGTACAGAAATTGGCTTCAATGAGTCTAAGAATTTAGCTAAAACAATTTGCAAAGGATTTACACTAGACGAAAATCATACGAGACGAGTTGTTCGTTATGCTGGCGAAAGTGTTATTCAAGAGATTGAGAAAGAAATGCAGGAAGAATCAGCCGCAAAAAATGTCACACAGTAAAATAACCAAACGTATAGTAATTAGTCAATGAATAAAATGAAAACTTTTTATTAAAAAATGATCAAGACAAGATATAATATAATTAATAAAAATGATTGAGTAAATAAGAAATATGCAGTTACAAAATCCACAAATTAAAAAATATAAATCCATCCTTAATTTATTGTATCAGCGCCGCTACTTGATGCTGTACTTAATGTGGCAAGAGATGTGTCTGAGTCAGAAATGAGTGATGTCAATGAGCGATTTAAATTGATTTTGAATACTTTTTCAGCATCAATGGTAATGAGATCTTGTAGATTATGTCCATTTTCATTCTTTGTGTTCTTCAATATGTTGACACAATAAGCATTTGTGCAGCCATTGTGCGTAAACTTTTTATCGCCATCAATTGTCATGAATGCTCTCGACTGACTAAAATCAGTAAGTGATTCCTTTTCATGCTTTCTAGCACTATTACTAATTTTAAGGATCTGAATACTTTGATCATGTATGATATAAAGTAAAAAGTTTTTAAAAAAGAAACTTCTTGGTTCATGCATCCAATGAATATTTTCTTCGCGAGCTCTCAAACCATATTCATCCACAAATATACCATAATCTTTAAAGCACAAAAGGAACTCACGAGAATTGACTCGGAAAACGCTAATCGGTTGACTATTTTTCGTAGGTCTCAAACTCAAATCGGACATGTCCAAAAACTCTTCAGCTACGTAAGAATTCAAATCAACCTCAAAGAACTTGTCGCATGCAACAATAGCTGAATGTTGTGTAAAAAGAATATCCGATATAGCTGTGACTGTATCCAATGATCTAACAGGCTTAAATCTGCCAATTTTTGGATCATACTTAAGGATTACCATTCTTGATGACGTTGCAGCTATGGCAATAGAATCATTAAGATGCTCAGTAGTTCCATGTAATTCAACCATATGCCATTTTTCATCAGCACATCTATTAGCAATCGACAAGTCAATCACTTGTATATTTAATTTTGGCTCCAAAAGTCCTGATTGGTGACTCTTATTCATAAGTACTCTTAAATCGCATTCATATAAATTCTCTCCGTTATCTCCAATAATTATCGACTTTGTCAAGTTTGGTTTAATTGAGAAATAATTGACATTGCTGATTCCTTTGATCAGAACAATTTTATTGTCATCAATGTGGTAAGAATAGAGTCCATTCGAGCAGCCTGTAATATATAAATTTTATTAAAAAGAGTTTAATGGTTTTTTCAAGGATTTTTAAAATTTAAATCTCTCAATTTTTTTTTTTTTTTGGATTTTTTCAAATATTTTTTGAACTTTTACCCTGTTTTTTCGTTATAAGCTACTACTCGTTACTAAGCTACTAGCTTAGTAAAGTTTTTTGAACTTGAAAATTTTTTGTAACCTTTACTAAGCTACTACCAAAAATAAAGTTTAATTAATCTTTTTCAACTTTCTAAGTATCAGTTTAAATGCCTTATGACATTGTCAATGAAATAAAATCGGGAAGATAGCAAAATTTCTTTAAATAAGTCAAAAAACTCAAAATTTTCATTGAAGTTCAATTTCTTTACTAAGCTACTACTCGTTACTAAGCTACTAGTGAGCCAAAAAAATCACTTTTTTATTCTTCTAAGCTACTAGCTTATAACGAAAAAACAGGGTAAGTATTTTTTGACTTACCGAAAAGAATGACATTTTTGGTCAGCTCATAAACAGCATTAATCTTGGGAGATGAAGTCATAACCCATCCAAGACCAAATCTTGAGGAACATAAAATATGATCGCCACTATAAGAATTAAGAATCAAGTCACTGCCACTACCAATCGATGATAAATCATCAAATGCCTTGATTCCATCAACGTCATCTAATTGAATCTTTTTGCTACGTCGTCGACTGTCATTTAATGTAGCTGTTGTGGATGTAGAAGTAGTTTCTGATGAAGACGAGATCATTCCATCATTCATAAGGCATGAACTTTTAACCATTCCACGACATTTTCTGTGAACAGACAATTTACATTCCTTACACTGCCAATATGGCTGTCCAACAAGTATAAATTTATCGCATGCTAAACAAGTTGTTGGTGGAATATTTGGCGATGGTGAAGCAGTCTCAATTGTCATGGCAAAATGGTGAGATTTTGGTGATGAAGACGAGTCACGTTGAAAATTTTCCCTTTGCAGCTTTACACTTGGCTCTGCATGTACTGTTGCTATTATTGTCTTTACAGATTCTTCTAAAATACTTGGTGCTATTGATTCAATTGTTGATTCTCTTGTAAGAATTGCCGTTTCTTTTTCTGGTGATTTCATACTGGCACTTTTTCTAATTTCTAATTTAGTAAGCATTAAATTTTCTTTTAACTTTTGATTCCTTTCCTTTTCACGTTTAAGATCTTCCTCAATCTTTTTGTAATTTTTATTTTCGGATATTGGATTTGGCGGGATATTTTCCTTTCTAGCACTTTTTGGTGTCTGTAGTGGATGAACTGGAGTGCTGTTTGTATTAGATCCGAAAAGAACTTCAGCAATTCCACGTTTTTTCTTATTTTGAAGTTCCTCGACACGTTTAGTCAAATAGTCAATTAGTTTCTTTTGCTGCATGACTGTTGCTTCTGTTCTAATGTCCCTTTCTTTTGAATGAGTCTTTAATTCGTTCAATAAAGTATTAAGATGATCTTTTTCTTGGCCTAATTCATCAATGTCGATACGTGCATCTTTTAGTTCCATTGACAATCTCTTTTCTGCTTCTTTTGATCGATAAAAATCTGTCAATATTCTTGTAGTTTCTTGCTTCAGAATGACAATTTCGTTCTCATAATTTGACTTTAATTTTTGAAGATGCTGCAAATCAGAATTAGATATTTCGATATTTTCTTGTGCTTCATACAAGACTTCTTGTTTTTTGACTAATTGATTCTGTATTTCAAGCATTCGCATTTGAACATTTTGAAGTTCTTCTTTCATTTCGTCCAATTCGTTCTGTAATTGGCATCTGCTGGACTCTGCTGTCATTTTTAATGTCTTTTCTTTACTCAATTCTTTTTTAAGCTTTGAATTTTCATCATCACGGCTACGTAGCTTCATATATAAGTCATCAATTTTTTCGCTATTTGTCTTATTATGATGGACTTCTTTATTAAGCATTTCCTCAATCATATTTAATTGAGTTTCTGTTGTTGCTGCTGCCTCCATAAGAAGTTCATAATTTCGAGTTTTTTGTTTTAATTCAGTGGTCAGTTCCTGCACAGTTTCATCGAATGTTTGACTTTGAGACTTTTCTTCATTTAATCTTCTTTGTAGGATTTCCTTTTCGTCTGACAATTGAGATACTTTAAGTTCCAACAAACGAACTTTATTTGTCGATTCTCTCAACTTTTCTTCTAAATTCTTAATCTTTGACGATTTTTCGATAATTTCAGTTTTTTCAGCCAAACGATCACGTTCTGATGAGCTCCATTTTTCGCGTTCTTGCTTTAACTCATATTTAAAGTTTCTGATGTCCTTTTGTAGATCAATAATTTGTGATTCTTTTGTGCTGATAATGTCGATCTGTTGCTTAAGTTTTAATTCCAAACTTTCCTTATCATGAATAGCCTTTGAGCATTTCTCATTTGCTGATTCAAGCTTTCTATTAAACATTGTTTTTTCAAGCTTTAAGTCGTCAACTTCCTTTTCAAGTTTATACAATTGTAGATATGTCGATTTTGTTTGTTGTCTATCAATAATCGTCTGTTCTCGTGCTGCAGCTAAATCTCCTTCCAATTTTTCATTCTTTTTTTCTAGCATCCCACCGACTGTATTATCAGTTGTCGCATTTAATTTCTTAACAACTTGTTCCAATTTTTCAACGACTTGTGCTAAATTATCAGCTCTACGACGTTGGATGTCCTCATTTTCTCTGGCACGTTTTAAATCATTCTTTAAGTCTTCTGTGTCTGTGACATTCAATTCTGTCAAACTACCGTGAGCACTTTGGAATTCTTCAAAACTATTTCTAGATCCTCCAATTTGAATTGGCTGTGTTACTGTCTTGGAAAGCTTCAACTGTCTTTTGATGTTTTCTTCCTGTAATTGTTTAAATAAGACATTTTGGTAATTAGAATAAATCCGTTAATTTTCTTTTCAAAAATTCAGGGGTATTAAAATACACTTGCATTTAAATTTGAATATTTGAAAATCGTTAAAACTTAAATGTTTTACATCCGTTAAATTTTTGATTTTTAAAACGTGTATGCTCACCTGCAATTTAATGATTTCCTTTCTTAAATCGTCATTATTTTGATTAGCTTCATTAACTTGCTTATCTAATTCCTTCTTTTCCTTCTGTAGTCGATTATTTTCATCAATTTCCTTGCCTAATTGCTTTCTTGTTGCCGTCAGTTCCATTTCTGTTTTATCTTTTGAATCAACCATTGTGTTATTGCAATCTGTTGCTTCATTGAGCTCTTTACGCAAATTTTTAATGATTTTTTCTTGTTCTGATCGGAGTTTAGTTTCAGCACTTAACTTGGTCTTTAGTTCTTGAACTTTGAATTCGGAATTTTCAGTTAATTTTCGGCAAACATCTTCATAGTCTGATTTATCGGATATAGCTTGTTCTTTTGATTTTTTGAGCATATTTTTGTATTTTTCGAGAGTAATATTTAGATGCTGACATTCCTTGATTTTTTCATCCAATTCCATCTCGAGGATTCTAGCCTTTTCATTCATTTCCGATAATTCACTTTTCTTTTCAGCTATTTGCTTTAAAAAATTCTCATCTGACCTTGTCTTGGCTTTATCCCATTTTTCATAAGTTTGTTGCATAATTTCTGCATTTGCAGCATTACTTTTCATCCTCATTTCCTCTTCAATTTTTAAGGATGTCTTGAGAGTTTTAATTTCAGTTTTGCATGATGCAAGCTCTGTAATTTTCTCTTTTAGTTCTGATTTTATGGAATCAAAATCTTCTTTTGTCTCGCTGTAAATTTTCTCTAATGAACTCATCTGAGCTGCCTTCTTTTCAGCACAAAAAACATCCTTTTGAAGTAATTTAATTTCTCTCATTTGCTCCTTAATTGTAAGCTGTAAATCTGTTATTTTGCTTGACATTTTTGACTCCAAATGTGCTGTCGATGACTTTGGCGTTGCTTTCAAAAACTTTGAAGACTCTTCATAGACATAAGTATATCCCAAAAATGGTAAATCCTCTCCAGAAAATTCTGTCGTATTTATTGACGCAAATGTTGATTTCTTAAATACTGGACACCTCTTTTGTGACTTGTCAACATCATCAAAATTAGATGTATCATCTTCACCATTAAGAGTTGGAATTATTGGAGGTACTTGTTCTCTTAACGAATGCCAATTGATTCCATTAAAGAATGGATGGTCCGAAATTTCATCATAATCCATGCGACGACTACGTTTTGTGATTAATCCATTTAAGAGATCTTTAAGATTTTTAGTCATTCTAACATCCTTTGGAAATTCCAAGACTTGCATTAATCTTTTATCATCCGAATAATGTTGAATGACTTGATAGGTATCAAACACATTTTCATTATGAAATGGTGTCTTTTCAACTATCATTTCGTATCCAATAATTCCCATTGACCAATAATCGCACGAAACCTGCAAATAAAATATCAAGTTAATATATATTTACTAGGCTATCCGGAGGCGCCTCTTATCAGGGTTAAAATTTGATTACTATTATGTTAATAACTGTAAGACGCAAATAACCATAATGTTTTAAAGGTCAATCCTACCACAAAACTTCACGTGGCTCCACAACCCTCCTCAAACTCGAACTTCCTTAATTCCGCAAAAACTTTATAAATAGCTTCACAAAACTTCACATGGCTTCACAAACCTCCTCAAACTCGAACTCAATCCCACAAAAATTTTATAAATGTCTTCACAAACCCCCTCAAACTCGGACCCCTTAATCCCACTAAAACTTTAATTCCCCCGAAACCCACCATTTCTTTTCACAAAGCTTCGCATGGCTTCACCAAATTTTATATAGCTTCACAAAATATTCCTGACACCAAACTTTTCCCACAAACCCCCTCAAATTCGGACCCCCCCCCCCAACTGACACCCACCTTGTCAGCACCCCTCAAATCATTGGCTTCATACGGCTTCACAAAATATACCCACCCCCCACATGACAACCACCCGACACCTGACACCCACACCCACCATACAACCACCTTGTCAACACTCCTTAAAATTTTGTCTTCACACGGCTTCACAAATGTCTTCACATGGCTCGCGTTCCAGAGTCAGTGAATCAGTGAATTGGGCTTTTATATATTAGATTGATTAATTGAATTTTAAAAAAATTCTTACATCAAGTTTGCTGCAAGTTTGATTGCCTTTTGTTGAGAGGATTTGAAGTAATTCTGGTGCTATGTAGTCTGGAGTACCGACTGGAGTAATACTAATAAAGCTTCCATCCTCACTTAACGCAATTGATGATCCAAAATCAGCTATGAACAGAATTATCTTTAAAATACATCACTAAAGTTTAAATAAAGTCAATTTACCTAATTTTAAATGACCACAGCGATCGAGTAATAGATTTTCAGGCTTAATATCACGATGGACAAATCCGAGAGTATGTAAAGCATTAATTGCAAGTGCTATTTCTGCAAGATAAAATCTTACTAATTCCTCATCAAATGCTCCATGTCGAATCATTAAGCCTAATAAGTCACCGCCAGGCAAATATTCCATAACTAAATAGAGATGTTCACGATCTTGAAATGCATACTGTAATCTAGTGATCCATTCACACTTCCTGCCTAAAACCATGATATCTCGTTCTTCGCGAATTTGGCAATTGCTTACAAAAGCCTTTTTGATGGTTTTCATCGCATAAACATCTTTTGTACATTTTTCAGTTACGAGCTGTTAAATTCAAATATGTGTGATAATAAATAACAACTGCCTTTAACCAGCATAAATAAACTTACATGAACTTCTCCGAAATAACCGTTTCCAATTTGAGATTTAACATCAAAGTCATTTAATCCTACTCGTAGCTGCTTAGTTTCTCGAATAATCGGTCGATCTTTGAGGATTAGAATGAAAGAAATTATGAAATACAGGTAAATATAGCTTAAAAGATCAGGAACTTACATTTTGAAGCAAAATCTTGAATATTTTTATGTCGCTTTTTCAAAGCATCTTTACTGCATTCATCATACAGCAGAAACAAAGCATCGAGTAGTCCTTCTCGATTGATTGCGCTGCAAACTTCCTTCTGTTCCTTATTTAAAGTTTCCGGACGATTTAAAATTAAGGTATTCAATCGAGATGCTCTTGTTTGGATTGTAATTGTTGAATTTACACTCATTTTGCCCTAATCTACACTATTCCCCGACACTAATAAAATCTTTGCATACTATTGAACGATTTACAATTAATTACATTAGGTTTAATCAAGCTTACACTGAGAAATTAAATAAAACTTTTAATACACAATTTCTTTTCGTCTAAATTAAGTCCGTTATTTTTTCATCTCTTCCGTTAAATGATTTGAAAAAATATTTCCAAGAAAAAGTGAGAAAACGAGCGATTCATAATGAGTGATGTTTGAATTTTAACGGTCGAATTCGAATTTGAAATCAACTGAAAAATAAACGATTTTCAATTTATAGTGTTTGTGCAAAATTTAATTAAATACACAAGAAATAGCTATTTAAATGGTTAATTGATAAGGCTAAAGTGATAAACATCAGTTTTGGAATAAATTAAGCTATAAAATATGAAATCCTCGTGAGTATTTAATGAAAAACATTTTGCTATTGAACAAAATTCTAAGAATTTCATTGTTTTATTTGATAAAACAGAAAAATGAGAGCACCAGCAACACCGTTGCGTCCAATGTTACCACCAAAGACTCCAAAGAGTCGTCAAAATTCAAAAGAGAATCTAGTTCAGAAAGATCCAGTGCAAGTATTTTGTAGAATACGTCCTCTACAATCAGAATCGGATCTTTCATGCATTAGAGTTGTTTCATCGTCCACAGTTGCACTTATACCACCAGAAAGTGCTATAAACTACAAAATTTCAAATAATAAAGAGACACAATATGTTTTTAAGCATATCTTCGATGTAGATTCATCTCAACAAGAAGTTTTTTGTACTGTTGCACAGCCATTAGTTGAAGGATTAATTAAAGGCAGAAATGGATTATTATTCAGTTATGGAGTCACTGGGTCTGGTAAAACATACACAATGACAGGAAATAAAAATTATCGCGGTATTATGCCTCGATGTTTGGATGTATTATTCAAGACAATTTCAGATTATCAAGCAAAAAAGTTTGTTTTCAAGCCAGACAGATTAAATGGATTTGATATTCTAACAGAAGCAGATGCAATGCTTCATCGTCAAACTGAAATCAATTCTCGGTTAATGAAACTCGAACGAAAAGACACAGATATTGAAATTGCATCCACAGCTTCGTCGGATGTAACAATACTTTCAGGAATTGATGAGGACAATAGCTATGCTGTATTTATCACTTATGTAGAAATTTATAATAATAACTGTTATGATTTACTCGAACCATCAAATAATCGTAATCAGTAAGTTATTTTGGTTCTTATTTTATAATAAAATTTATTAAATTATGTTATTTTACAGACCATTGCAGACAAAAATTGTCCGAGAAGATAACAACCATAACATGTTTGTGCATGGCGTAACAGAAGTTGAAGTAAAGTCTGTTGAGGAAGCATTAAATGTTTTTCATACAGGACAAAAGCGTAAACGTATGGGACATACAATTCTTAATGCTGAATCAAGTCGCAGTCACTCAGTGTTTACGATTCGTTTAGTACAAGCTCCAGTTGACATTAATGGAGAGTATGTTGTTCAAGACAGAGATAAAATCACTGTTTCTCAACTGTCCTTAGTCGATTTAGCTGGTTCTGAGCGAACAAATCGTACAAAAAATACAGGACAGAGACTTCGTGAAGCTGGAAATATCAACAATTCATTGATGACATTAAGAAGTTGTTTGGAAATACTACGTGAAAATCTGTTAAATGGAGGAAATAAGAAAGTTCCATATCGTGACACAAAGCTCACACATCTATTTAAGAATTATTTTGATGGTGAAGGTCAGGTGAAAATGGTTGTTTGTGTTAATCCTCGATCTGATGACTACGATGAATCTGCTCATGTAATGAAATTCGCAGAAATAACACAAGAAGTTCAAATTGCTCGTCAAACGCCAATAAAACCAACATTTGATAACGGTTTAACTCCAGGCAGGCGCAGAGCCAATCAACTGTTCCGTCAAGCTATGCAAGTTCTCGAAGAAAATGGACAAGAGGATGCACAAAATTTGGAAATCGATCTAGGTCTAATTTATAAACTTCCAAGCTTCTCTGACTTCCAATTAAGGAACGACAACATGAATGATATAATGAAGGAACTAATGATCTGTCTTGAAGATCGAATAAGATGTCGCAAACGCTTAGTTGAAGATTTTGATGTTAGACGTAAGTATTTTTTAAATTTTAACGGTTATTTTTTGGCAGCATGTTTTTCAAAAACATTTTCACCGTTATTTTTCAAATAATTGTCGATCGTTATATTTCAAACAAAAAAAAATAATACAATTTTATAGAGAAAGAAGTCCGTCAGTTAATCTACAATCTTGAGTCAGAGAATATTCGGTTAAAAACTGAAAATGCTGCAGTAACAGCAACATTAAACCAAGATCGTGAGCGAATGAAGGTTCTTGAGACTAAAATTATGAGGTACGAGACAACAATTGACACATTGAATCGTCGAATTCGTGACAAAGATGAACACATATCTCAAATGGAAACAGATTTGAATGAAAAACAGCATCAAATTAACAGAAAGGAACAAGAAAAAGAAAGGCAACGCCGAAAGTTTGATAATAAAATGGCAGAAGAGCATGATAAGAAGCAGCGCGAATTGGAAAATAAGTTGGGTGAACAGAAGCGCAAGATGGAGAGCCATATGAGGACACAAGAAGAGAAGCTCCGACTTGTTACAGACATTATTAATGATAATGAGTTCAAAGCAGGTCCTGTTTCAAACTTAATTCATCAATTTAATGCTCACAGCGAAGGAAATGCACCACAAAGTGAACGCAAGGCACGCACAAAAGTGAGTAGCTTTAAATTATTTTATTTATTTTTATGTCAATCTTAAATTCATATCATTTTTAAGACAATAGCCATGACTAATCCTCGTCATCGTCGCTCAAAGAGTGTTGGAAATGAAGGTTGGCTAGAGCATAGAGCACCATCCATTGCCCATCCAGGCACAGTTCTTCAGCCATATTATAATAGAACTAAAACAGTGACAAGTCCAGAAATGAAAGACATAACAAATAACAGAACGTCTCGTTATTGTTTAATTACACAAGAAGCTGATACGGACGGTGAACTCGAGACAAAACTTTATAAAGGGGATGTGATTCCAACAAAAACTGGTGGAGCACAAGTTGTATTTGATGATATTGAATGCTTGACCCAACAATCACCGACTGCGTCACCAAATACATCTCGTAAGAGAAAATCAGAAAATGAACGTAAAACACCAAGCAAAAAGTCACATACAGAAATTGGAGCTCGCTGCTCGACTGGCATTGAAGGACATTATTCAAAGAAGCAACGCGTTTAAGTATTAATTTTGGTTTATGCTTAATATATTTTACTTTCTTTTTAAATTAATTGATTAATTTTTATATTTTTTATACACGAAATAATTATTGAAGAATCTAATCCTTTTATACCTGTATGATTTTTTGTCTGAGAAATAAAGCATAACGAACAAAAATATTTTGAATTGCACAACATAAGTCTTGAGCATAAATCTGTGGATGTGTTCCTATCCCTTCGTAGTTCGGCCATTTTTTCCTTAAAGTCATTTAAACAAAAAAAAAATAAAATCTCATATATTTATAAGTGTTTAAGGATAATATTTGTTAAATAAAGTATACATAACTGAGTGCTCATTAGGAAGGGATTAAGAAGAAGTAAGAATTTTATCAATTAAGATTGATTTTTAGTGTCTCGATGAATTTTTCGTATAGCATTTTTGTGTACAAAAATTTATCCAATTTTATTGCTTATTTTTATGGTTTATGATTGTTATTATTAGACAGAAGGAAACTGAAAAGTTTAAAATTTAAGAATTTTCAACTTTCGGTTTGAATTTTGCCAGTGAATTCAAGAAATTTAAATTAGAATCGACCCTTCTGACTAAAAACTCATAAATCATCGTGCCTTCTCTTTCACTCGTGTATGGTAAAATCAGTGCAGCATCGAAACTGTTTAAATCGTGAAATATGGATTCTTTAACTAATTTCATGTGATTATTAAATGAAACACCTCAATAAATTGAATTTGAGGACATGAAATAGTGAAAAAATCCACTATAAATCGCAGAATATGTACAGATAAATTTTTTACCTTCTGTGATTTGCTGTCTCTTTTTAACTCATGTTGACATGGAAGATTAAGAAACAAAACTTGTTCCCCCTAAGAAAAAAATATACAATAACAGAAAGAAGATGAGATGGAACGAAGAAAACGAAGATGCTTAAGGGAGCGGTGAAAAAAATGTGAAAAGTCTCAAAATAGTTCAACTTCGGTTTTTCAAGAAATTCAAGTTATAACATTTTCTAGTAATTTGAATATTTAACGGCTTCAAAAAATTCAAATTAGGTTCGAAGAACCTTATGAACATGAAAATTTTATTTTGTCAAAAATTATCATTAATCTATAAACTATCTTCACATAAACACTTTTCGCACTTAAAAGAAGTATCTAGCTACTTTATTAAGTCTTACATGCTGCAAATTTATGTGTTATTAACAGCTTAAAAACGAATTTGATCTATTTATTTACATTTTATTTCATCGACAAGCTTTCGATGAGATGAAATTTTAAAAAAATTAAAACCGTTATATTTTCAAAAAACCATGCTTTAATGTTGTAAAAACATTTTTTGTCCATGCCCTTAACGCTTTATCGACATATACACAGAGAGTGAAATAATGGAAATAAAATAAAAGGAAAGAAAAAAAAAATGCATTCGAAATGAGTTTGAATCTTTTTTTCTTCTCTTATTGCCTTCTTTTGTATTTTGCAAGTCCAGTGTCTCGGTCATAAATTTGACTGTTTATGAGATTAGTTGACAAATATTATACCTGTGAGCTTACAACGTACACAATATTAACTTTCATTCGTGACTTCTTTTTTTGCAGCATTTTGTGGCCGAAATAAATGGAAGATCCCAATCGAATGATGGCACATAGCGCTTCCAATTCTTCATACGCACAAGCCTATGGAATGCCAAGTGATTCCGCTGTTGATGATCCGAGAAAGCAGGATATTGGAGAGATTCTCCAACAAATTATGAACATCACTGATCAATCGTTGGATGAGGCACAAGCACGAAAGCATACATTAAATTGTCATCGAATGAAACCTGTACTATTTGCTGTATTATGTGAGATTAAGGAAAAGACCGTTTTGTCATTGCGCAATACACAAGAAGAAGAGCCTCCAGATCCGCAATTAATGCGTTTAGATAATATGTTAATAGCTGAAGGAGTTGCTGGACCTGAAAAAGGCGGTGGAGCCGGTGCAGCAGCATCTGCATCGGCAGCAGCATCAGGTAACTTTATTGTAAATCTATTGGACATATACACAATTTTTTAATTTCATAAGCTTTGTCATTAACAGAGGACTTTTCTGATATGGGTCCATCACAGGACAACGCAATTGAGCATTCGGATTATCGTGCAAAGTTGGCTCAAATTCGTCAAATTTATCATCAAGAATTGGAAAAGTACGAGCAAGCGTGTAGCGAATTTACCACACATGTTATGAATCTTTTACGTGAACAAAGCCGAACACGGTAAGTACTTATTTTCATTACTAATATTTACTCGCTGATATATCTCGAAAATTAATTAATTAATTAATTTTGCTTACTTTTCATACAGTCCCATTACACCGAAGGAAATTGAGCGTATGGTCCAGATTATCCACAAAAAATTCAGTTCTATTCAGATGCAGCTTAAACAGTCGACTTGCGAAGCTGTCATGATATTGAGGTAATGCAATTAATAACATATTAGCTATATAGCTTAATAAATAATAAATATCAATTAATGTAGATCACGATTCTTGGATGCACGTCGTAAGCGACGAAACTTTAGCAAACAAGCTTCCGAAATTCTCAATGAATATTTCTACAGCCACCTAAGCAATCCATATCCATCTGAAGAGGCTAAAGAGGAATTAGCTCGAAAATGTGGAATAACTGTCTCGCAAGTATCCAACTGGTTTGGAAATAAGCGTATTCGATATAAGAAAAATATTGGAAAGGCACAAGAAGAAGCAAATTTATATGCAGCTAAAAAGGCAGCTGGTGCAAGTCCATATTCAATGGCTGGACCTCCTTCGGGTGCCACAACTCCAATGATGTCTCCAGCACCTGCACAAGATTCCATGGGATATTCACTAGGATCAGGTGGATATGATCAACAGGCAACATATGATGGTAGTATGGGCTATGATCCCATGCATGGAGGTAAAGATCGCGATGACTTTTGAGTCAACTAAATTTAAAAATGTGAACAGCTAATAATTTTCTATCTTTTAATTAACTTATAAAACAAATTTTAAATTCTTTGACTACACATTCGATAAATGTGTTTTATGAATATTATAAGTTATTATCAATTATGTTCTATTGAAATCCACTATAAGTTAGAAAAATTGCAATTAGATTAAACATTTATTTTTATTTACTTTTCTCTGTGGTTTTAAGTAGGTCAGATTAATTCTTTATTTTTTAATTATTACTACCCATCATTGTACATGCCAATTAAAGTATATTTGGGGACAAAAAAAAAACCAATTTAGCGTTTAGAAAATGAGAGGACAAACAAATAATTCGCATTAAACCTTTTTTAATATTAGGAATTAAGCTAATATATTTTCACATACATACAAACATACTAAAAACCTACAAGTAATTCTTTTCGTAAAGTATACTAAAAAAACCATTGATGAATTTAATTTAATTCATGGAATTTTGCTTTTAAAATTTTGTATGATTTTCTGCAGAATAAATGCACAAAAACGAAAGTATACAAGCGGTGAGGAATTTAAGTTCAAAATCTAATGAATTGATACGATTACAATATTTGTACCATAAGATATACGAAGCAATTATACGAAATTTTCATCATTTTTCATTTCATATCTGCAACGCAACGTTTTATTGAAAATTCTTCTCAGTTTATTCTTATCATTACTGTTTTTGAATGACAGGAGAGGATGTTGAATTTAAGTTTGGTTGGCATTTGAGGTGAAAAAAGTGATAATGCTCAAGAACAATTGATTTTAAAACATTTATAAGGTTTTTAATCGAATTCAAAAAATCAAATGTGTTTGAAATATTCAGAAAACGTTCTTTAAAACCATACAAATTCTGACTCAATTTAAAAATTGAAAACCTATTATTTGTTCAAAATGATATAATTTAAATTCGAATATTGGAAATCGACAAAATTTCAATCAAACAGTTAATTTCTCATCAATAAAAAACCTCAATGTCGATAAAAAAAAACGCCAATAAAAATCAAAAAAAAACAACATTCCCTTCCTGCATAAAAAGCTCATCGAAAAAAAGAATAAACAAAAAAAATTAAATTGATCAAACAATTTTAGAATAATGGATATACGTAATACATATTTAAAAAAACTTTGATAAAGTTGGTGGTGCAAAATTTTAATTTTTTATCATTTTTTGGCATTGTTCGGTAACATTTAGAAAATTTAACGTTTGGAATAGTAGAAAAAAAGTAACAAATCAAGATTGAAAAACGAAGTATACGAAAAAAAATATGATTAAAAACTCAAGCAGTTGGTTACGTTTCTAAAACATTTTTAAATGAGAAAAATTGATTTTCTAGATTTTGTTTGAAAGAATTTTTTTGTCACAAAAATTTAAAGCTATGAAAAAAAGTATTTGACGATATCAGAAATTTAAAAAAAAACTTTGCTTTTGCGGAATGTGTGAAATTAATTTTCGGATTTGAAAAGGATTTCACTTCTGTGCGAAATTATTTAATGAATAAATCTTAATTTCAGCAATGCTTTTTCTTAGAAAATTAAAACTTTTTGTAGGATATAAGTGATGTATGATAAACCACAACTTTTTTCTTTACTCCACTTCTAACCCCATAACCCCCATAAAATTAGAGCATCTCGCAATAAAATTTATCAATAATTTCATCTTTAAAAATCAAAAAACAAAAAATGAAATTCATTCAAAAAAATAATTTAAAAAAATCACACAAAAAGCTACAAATTAAATGAGTATACGAAACAAAAACAGTGGTTTTGAGATGTTTGAATGATATACAATTTCTAATAATAGTAAAACACTTGATGTACTTAAGCATAAATAAAATTTTGAAAAATAAAGAAACATAATTCTGAAATAAAAACCTTAATTTCATCAATTCTTTATCATCACATTCTTATTCGATTCCATTAACAACAGCTGAGTATCATAATTGTTGTTTTTAAGGATTTAAAACTAGTGTTTCGGGTAGAAACCCAATGCGGATATATTCACACCGTACCATCAAAAGTCTTATGGATAGACCAAGATTTGCCCAGCGTAAGTATGAAGGTATGAAGCTTGATAAGTCAACTGAGCTTCGCTCAGCATAAGTTTGAAGTTATAAAACTAGAAGGTCTAAAGCTTAACGTCAAAAGTTGAATTTTAAAAATCACAGTAAACTTTTTTTTTGAAAAATTCGTGAGAAAGGAAAGTTTTTTGCTTTTTCTGAAGCAACGGCTGTTCCTACCTTGCTCAAAAACCAAACAGCTTTTCTATAGAGCAGCACGGATCAAATGTAAAAAACTAGAAGTCTCTACGATGTCTCGTGCTTACAGAAAGCGTATTTTGCGATTTTCTCAGCAATGCCACAACCAATTTGAAATTTGTTTTTTGAAAACGATGTAAAAATTCAGACACAAACTTTTCTTCTCGGATTTTTATAACCAATTTTGCTTCGTTTTCTCACAAAATGTGAAAAACTGATTTTTCAATCTGAACAAAACCAATAGGGGGCCGTTCACTTATTACGTTCGCATTTTGGGGGGTTGAAGAATTGTAACCAAATGTAAAATAGGGGGGGGTGTCAAGAAGTATGTAACGTTCTAACTGTCATCTGTCTTACAAATTCACACCTCTTTAATGATTTATGTCCAGATCTGTTTTGATAGCTAAGCAATACATAGTTTTTGTTATATATAGTAAGAAATCAATAGAAAACTGGTTTACAAGACTTTAAAATACAATCATAATTTATGAAAATTTTCAAAATTAAATCAATCATAAGTTTAAAAGTAAATCTCTCTAAATCTGTCATTCATATGATGATTAATATGATCCCATCATTGTGATATTTACATTCAAAGTTGATTGAATTTTCCAAAATTATCAAAATAAAAAAAATTATGAACGTTCAGGGGGAGGGGGGGGGGGGGGGTGAGTTGTAACATATTATTATTATTATTATTATTTTTATTATGGTCCGTATTAAAATTAAAGGACCTTTAGTTGTAACATATTGTAACAAGGTGGGGAGGGGGGGTGAAAAAAGCCGTTTTTTTGCGCAACGTAATAAGTGAACGGCCCCTAGATTCACACGTGAAAACGGTGTGAATATAATAAATCTGCAATTAGAAATTCGAAACTGTCACGAAAAATTTGAATCGACTCACGTGCAAGGGTTATTAACTTCCAATAAATTAAATCAATAATCTTCTAAAGAATCAGCAATATAGATTGTTTGCTGTTAAACTGATCCTTGTGCTCAATTTAAAGCAGTGTATTTAAAAGAAGTCACGCCACAACAGTGTATTTAAACACACCACAAATACTTGTGTGTAGACCACAAAAAGTTCAGATTAACCAGCCCTGGTTTAAACAAAAGAAGAGAAAAAATTAGCAAAAACAGAGAAATTTCACAAATAACTTAATTAATATGGAAATACTCAACGAAAATCTTAAACAAATCAAAATTCCAACATCCAGCGATAACATTTATAGTGAGGAATGTGTTTTTTCGTACGATACGCCGGTAAATTCATTAATAAACTTGATTGTGAAAGATTTCGCAAATTTATTGTTTTGTTTTCCAGGAAAGTGATGATGGATTATACATAAGTTTAACATCTTTCCTGTCATTTGGTAGAGACTATGTTGAGCGGTACTATCAGAAAACCAAAAATGCTGTGTTCCTTCATATCAAACGGACCAAAACTGAGGTAATTAAATTTTTTATTATATTCACACCGTTTTCACGTGTGAATCTATTGGTTCTGTTCAGATTGAAAAATCAGTTTTTTAAATTTTGCGAGAAAATGAAGCAAGATAGCTTAACATGTTCAAAGATGAAACAGATTTCAAATTGATTGAGGCATTGCTGAGAAAATCGTAAAATACGCTTTCTGTAAGCAAGCAAACAAGCAGGGTTGCAATATGTGATGACATGACAAAAAAATATTTCCTGTGACACATGAAATTATGTCACACATTTTACATGTTAACACATTTTTTTCTGCGATATGTCAAACATATTCATGTGTCACATAATATGTTTTTCTAACATAAAATATGTTCTTCCCGTTTTTTTTTTTTGGAATCCAAATTAGATTTTAAAGGTCCAAAAATTAATTTTCTATCAAATTTGACCGAAAAATCAAAAATTTATAAAAAAAATATTTTATGTTTGAAAAACATATTATGTGACACATGAATATGTTTGACATATCGCAGAAAAAAATGTGTTAACATGTAAAATGTGTGACATAATTTCATGTGTCACACATACAATATGTCACATATATGCGCATATTCTGTAAAACATAATATGTTTTTGCAACCCTGCAAACAAGCAAGTTAATCAGCAGGAAATCTCAATAACGAGACATCGTAGAGACTCACTATGGGGCAAAATGAAAAAAAAAGGGACTTTCACTTTGAAAAATGGACTTTTCCGATTTACACTTTTTGGGTGATTTTTTCTTGTAGAGGACATAAAAGTAGATAGAAATGCCAAATTTCAGGTCATTTGGTGCTGATTTCGCGATTCTAGAGCTGTTTGAAGTTGAAAACTAGTGAAAATTCTGGTTTTTTCATACCATGTTTGAACCGGGAAATATCTTAACTGGTTTAAGATATTGCAAAACGGTTTTCAGTTCCTATTAGTAGTATATAAGAGCTTTATTTTGACATATAACAAAGTTTAGGTTCTGAATGTTTTCGTGCCATTATGGTAGAACATATGTGAAAATTTCAGGAAAATTATCTTCAAACAAGCCGCAACTATCATAAATGAAGAGTTTCCAGGCAAGTAAAAACGCAGTTTTGTAGCCCCATATATCTAGTTTTCAAAACTGTATAAACTTTGAAAAAGTAAGCTAACGTAATTGAGTTATGTTGATTTTAGTAGGTCGTTGAGTATTTGGCCAAAAACTAATAATTCTTTTAAAAATACGAAAACATAGTTTTAAAAATAGTTTTTTGGTGTTTTCTTATGAAAAATAACAATTTAAATGATTTTGTGAAGAAAATTTTTCAAAAACTTCAAAATCTTTCGAGATATAGGGGGTATGTGCTCTCCATCGATTTGGCCATTTGTCACCCTACTTAAACCACTATAACTTTTTTTTGAAAAAATATTTTTTAATTCTGTTTTCGGATTATTGTAGCCTAATGTAATACCTATCCAACGATATATAATACTTGCTAGTTAACTTAGTCCTGGTTATTTATAGGGCTGTTGATTGTGACATACGCAGTTTTTGAAATATTCCCAAAAATTGCATTTTCAAAAATACCACTTTTAAGCAATCTCGAGTATTTTTTAGAACTTTTTTATGTTTATTTATGACATTTATGAGATTATAAAGCCAAAAAATTAAATTTAGAAACTTTTTACTTCCCTAGTTAACAACTTTGTAAAGTACCCTTGGTAGTCACTATCAGGTGTGAAAATCTCAGTTTTGAAACTATTTTATATATATACTCGTGAAATTCTCTCTACACATCATATCAGTTTTGAACTTCATTGAACAAGTCACTTTCAAAAATGAACCAAAATTCAACACTTACGAAGAAAACACTCTGTGAAATTCTTCGCGACAAAACGTTAAATCTTGCAACACAGCACACGTACTGTTTGGCAGTAATAGAAGAAATTCATGGGAGAGAATTAGCGGAATCACAGAAACCAAGTTTAATTAATAAATTAAACAAGCTGAAGTCAAAGTCAAAAATGTTTTGTAATCAGTCAAATTGGAATAATGCATTAAGAGATCATGCAGATTTCTATGAAGAGGAATTTGAAGTTGACTCACGATACTTCAGCGAATCTAGTGGAGGGATTCTTTTTGAGGAAGAATCTATATATGAAGCAGAAAATGTTACTGACACAGATGAAGATATGGATGAGATTGAATACATCGTCCATGACATAGAGCCTTCATCCAGCAAGGGCATCAAGAGGAAATCATTTGAACAACTAACAAGCGATAAGCATCGACGTAGAAGAGTGGACGAATTAGATATCAGTTTAAAAGAAGCAAAAGGATCATTGTTATCAGTTCTTCACTTGGCACTTCGCCTTTCTAAAGAAGAAGGAAAAGTAGAAGGAGCTAAAATGTTAAAAGAATTTATTAAGGCGTGCCAAAAAGGAGAGGATCTTCCAGAAAAAACTATTTTTGAAAGTGACTTGTTCAATGAAGTTCAAAACTGATATGATGTGTAGAGAGAATTTCACGAGTATATATATAAAATAGTTTCAAAACTGAGATTTTCACACCTGATAGTGACTACCAAGGGTACTTTACAAAGTTGTTAACTAGGGAAGTAAAAAGTTTCTAAATTTAATTTTTTGGCTTTATAATCTCATAAATGTCATAAATAAACATAAAAAAGTTCTAAAAAATACTCGAGATTGCTTAAAAGTGGTATTTTTGAAAATGCAATTTTTGGGAATATTTCAAAAACTGCGTATGTCACAATCAACAGCCCTATAAATAACCAGGACTAAGTTAACTAGCAAGTATTATATATCGTTGGATAGGTATTACATTAGGCTACAATAATCCGAAAACAGAATTAAAAAATATTTTTTCAAAAAAAAGTTATAGTGGTTTAAGTAGGGTGACAAATGGCCAAATCGATGGAGAGCACATACCCCCTATATCTCGAAAGATTTTGAAGTTTTTGAAAAATTTTCTTCACAAAATCATTTAAATTGTTATTTTTCATAAGAAAACACCAAAAAACTATTTTTAAAACTATGTTTTCGTATTTTTAAAAGAATTATTAGTTTTTGGCCAAATACTCAACGACCTACTAAAATCAACATAACTCAATTACGTTAGCTTACTTTTTCAAAGTTTATACAGTTTTGAAAACTAGATATATGGGGCTACAAAACTGCGTTTTTACTTGCCTGGAAACTCTTCATTTATGATAGTTGCGGCTTGTTTGAAGATAATTTTCCTGAAATTTTCACATATGTTCTACCATAATGGCACGAAAACATTCAGAACCTAAACTTTGTTATATGTCAAAATAAAGCTCTTATATACTACTAATAGGAACTGAAAACCGTTTTGCAATATCTTAAACCAGTTAAGATATTTCCCGGTTCAAACATGGTATGAAAAAACCAGAATTTTCACTAGTTTTCAACTTCAAACAGCTCTAGAATCGCGAAATCAGCACCAAATGACCTGAAATTTGGCATTTCTATCTACTTTTATGTCCTCTACAAGAAAAAATCACCCAAAAAGTGTAAATCGGAAAAGTCCATTTTTCAAAGTGAAAGTCCCTTTTTTTTTCATTTTGCCCCATAGTGAGACTTCTAGTTTTTTTACATTTGATCCGTGCTGCTCTATAGAAGAGCTGTATTGTTTTTGGGCAAGGTAGGAACAGCCGTTGCTTCAGAAAAAGCAAAAAACTTTCAACTTTAAACGTTTAGCTTTAGACCTTCAAACTTATGCTGAGCGAAGCTCAGCTGACTTGCTAGCTTTATACCTTCAAACTTATGCTGAGCGAAGCTCAGTTAACTTATCAAGCTTCACACCTTAATACTTATGCTGGGCAAATCTTGGTCTATCCATAAGACTTTTGACGGTACGGTGTGAATATATCCGCATTGGGTTTCTACCCGATACACTCGTTTCGAGGTTAAAGTTTGATGATTTCGCAAAATTAACATAATTAAACTTCTTTGAAGATCATTCAAGCTGACTCTGAAGAAGGACCTGAGAAGAAAATCACTCGACTGGCGATTGGATTAGAAGGTGGATTGCAGGATAACTCCACTAAGAAATATAATTATGATGATACTTATCAAATTGTTGTATTTCCATCACAAACAAAATATCCATTTCCAAATGAAAATCTTCCAGCGATTGTTTTAGAATCAGTAAATGCAATCATTACATCCGATTCTGCGTTCAAGAAACTGGAGAAGGAACAATTAAGTGGTACTTGGGATGGCGAAATGCGCCAAATTTCAGCTTGTGCCTTGGATTTACAGCAATTAGAAACCGGCAAGAAGATTCCACCGACTGGATGGAAATGCGAGAAATGTGATCTTACTAATAATTTGTGGTTGAACTTAACTGATGGATCAATTATGTGTGGACGACGATTTTTCGATGGCACTGGTGGAAACGATCATGCAGTACATCATTATCAGGCTACAAAGTATCCGTTGGCTGTAAAACTCGGTACAATAACTGCAGATGGAAAAGCTGATGTTTATAGCTATGCTGAAGATGATATGGTCATTGATCCTTATTTACAACAGCATTTAATGCATTTTGGCATTAATATCTTTCAAATGGAAAAGACTGAAAAGTCAATGGTTGAAATGGAACTAGAATATAATCAACATTTTGGTGAATGGGCTGTTTTACAAGAAAGCTCTGGAAACTTATTGCCAATTGCTGGGCCAGGATTAACAGGAATGACTAATCTCGGAAATAGCTGTTATTTAAACAGTGTCATGCAAGTCATGTTTAGAGTTCCTGACTTTGTTGAGCGTTATGTTAAGAAGGCAGATGAAATCTTTAATGCATCACCATCAGATCCAGTTAATGATTTTAATGTACAAATGGCGAAATTAGGTCATGGATTGTGGAGTGGAAAATACAGCTCAATTGGGGAAAGTTCCTTAGATACTGGTGCCACTGGCATTAAACCAACAATGTTTAAGAATTTGATTGGAAAAAATCATCCAGATTTTTCAACTAAGCAACAACAAGATGCACAAGAATTCTTATTGCACTTATTTACAGTTATTGAACGTAACAGTCATGGACAATCGAATCCAACTGATTCTTTCAAGTTCCAAATCGAGGATCGTGTTGAATGCTTAAGCAGCAATAAAGTTAAATACAGTTATCGTGATGAATATTTACTTCCACTGCCAATACCACTGGAAAGTGCTACGAATTTAGACGATGTCCGTAAATATGAGGAAGAGAAAATCGCAGCAGAACGTGAAGGACGTAAAATGCCAGACGATTCGCTCATTCGTCCAAAGCTCTCTTTAAAATCATGTCTCGAAAAGTTTGCAGAACCAGAAAATGTTGAACAATTTTACAGTACAGCATTAAATGATAAAACGACTGCAAGTAAACGTGCAAGACTGTCAACAATGCCTGATTATCTCATTTTGCATCTTAAGAAATTCACATTACGTGAAGATTGGACATCTGTTAAGCTTGATGTCTCTGTTGATTGTCCTGACGAGCTTGATATTTCATTTTTGCGTGGAACTGGATTACTACCAAACGAGGAAGAACTACCAGAAATGAAAAACCGTCCACCATCGCCACAGATGGATGCAGAAGTACTATTATCGCTACAAGACATGGGATTTCCACTTGATGCTTGTAAAAAGGCTGTTTTCTTCACAAAAAATACTGGCTTAGAAAATGCTACAAATTGGATTATGCAGCATATTACTGATGACGATTTTAGCTCACCATTCGTGCCGCCGGGTCATGAAAATGTTCAAAAAGGTATTAATTTCTTAAGTTTTCTTGTTATTTACATAAATTTATTGATTATTTTGGATTATTTCAGAATTTATTCCGGACGAGGAAGGTCTAGCAATGATCCTTTCAATGGGATTTACAATGAAGCAAGCAACAAAGGCTCTCAAGGCCACAAATAATAACACAGAACGTGCTGTTGATTACATTTTCTCACATAAAGATGAAATCGATATGGAAGACGAAGAAAATCCAGCATCGTCATCAACAGCACCAAATACGAAGCAATATCGTGATGGAAATGGCAAATACCGCTTAAAAGCATTCATATCTCATATGGGAACATCCTCACAAGTTGGGCATTATGTTTGTCACATTCTAAAAGATGATCAATGGATAATTTTTAATGATAGTAAGGTTCAAATCAGTCAGCGACCTCCAAAGGATTTAGGATATTTGTATCTCTACGAACGTATCAAAAAATGAATTTATTAATGATATAATTCAACATTATTTTGAAAAGTTACTTTTTTTACTATTAATTTTTTTGAATTGAAAATTTGTGATTAATAGACGATATTCGGATGAATTTGTAAGGTTTTCAAACACAAAACATTTGTATTGTTCTCAAGAATTTTAAAGAGAACCTCTCAACAGTCACTCAAAGAATTTGTAAGGTTTTCTTGTCAATTATGTTTCAAACACCAAAATTTATCGAACGTTCCTTATTCAAAAACCTTACAAATTCTTTTAAACTTAACGAAAACCCTTCAAATTCAAAATTTCAGTCTGAATTCTTCAATTCTTTTCATTTCTTATTAAAACATTTTTTTCATCAGCAAAATGCTAATTGTACTAATCAATTTCATTATTTGCTAATAAATTATTTGAATTAAAATGCTTTCGTTTTTGGTGCCTTGTCAAATGAGATTTCGATGAAAATGACTTTTCACATTTGTCACAGCATATTGGACGAGCTTTTAAATGCACAAATTTCTGATGTTCTGCAAGTGAAATTTTACGAGCAAAACTTTTATCACAATTTGAATATTGACAGACAAAGCTCTTCTGTGACTTTTTATGGAAATTCTTTTCATGCATTTTAAGGATGTATAGGGAAGTAAGTTGTGCTGAACATTTTGAACATTTAAAAAGTCGTTTTGAAGTATTTGGAAGATGAGTGTTGATATGCTTGATGATGTTTTCCTTTTTAAAGGTTTTATGTCCACATTTGTCACATTCAAAGCGAGTTCTAAGAAGGAATTATATTAGAGTTCAATTTATGATGTACTGATCATTTTACTTACAATTTTTGATGACATGCTTTATTGTGCCTCACCAAACATGACTGCTGAGAAAACCTTAGATCACATTGATCACAACGAATTTTTTGAACAGGAACAAGGTGTTTTTTATGCTGCATAAGAGATTTAAAGTAAATAATAGGATATCATTAAGCTAAGAAATGAAAGCGTACTTTGGAAGTTTTATGAGATTTCAGCTCATATGATGAGAAGCAACTGTATTGACACTTTTCGCAATGATGCTTTTTGATTTGAAGATGAATTCGAGTTGTGTGATCCTGAAAAATGATTTATAAGCTTAAAGTTAAAAGTTAAGTCATGATCTATACCTTTAAAGTACGTCGACTATTGAAAACTTTGTTGCAAATATCACAAAACATCGTCCTGAAAATGACATCAAGCTGTTAACACCCAACAGCTAAACTTTGGTTTTAAATTTGTCATACCTATCAATTGATTTAACTTCAACCTTCACTTGCTTATCATCAAACTCCTCAACATGGTACAACTCTTCTGGATTCCTCAAAGCTATCACATCATGACTTTCACTCAATTTACTGCTTTTATGTTCATGAATAGCCTCAACTTTAACATACAAATCAGTTATTTCTATGCTTTCACTCTTCTTTAATAAATTAATTAAAATATTTTGATTCTCAACGAATCCCTTTTTCATAGCTGAATAACGTGACAAAATCGAGAAGCAGTTATAGCAGATAAATTGAGGTAACTTTGTTGATGATGACAGCTCGAGTTGGGTCATTTCAAAGAACTTTTCTCTCACTATTTCACCGATATTAAGCTTCTGTCGGTCCTCAAGAATTTGTAAGCAGCACCGACATTTAGTTGAAAATGTTTTTAATTCATCATTTTCCATTTTTAAAGGAAACTTCAATAGTTCAATTGTAAATATAAACAAATAATGAAGGTATGGTGAGTGGATGGAATATATTCACACCAGTCAAATGGTGATTGATGTGCTTAGTTCCTTTAATACTGATTAATTTGAAATTGAGTAAATAACTGTTGAAAATTATTTGAATTTTATGAATTTGATCTGAAAACTCAAATAAATTTTGACAGTTAGAGTTTTCAGAAACCTTTGTATTGTTTTATTAAGCATGTATAAAGCTTTGAAATGAACCATTAATTTTTGATTCAAATCATAAAAGACCGTTAAATTTTTAAAAATCTAATTGTTGAATTTTATTGACCAGCAAGAGTTTCTTTTTTATTCCAAAAAATGCAAATCAGATTGCATCACGTGCCTCAATTTAATTTTATGGATTAGCCTTTTTAAATAGGTTCTTCTTTTTCTTTGTAACCTCTTCCATTACTTCCTCAATCATTTCAGCTGGTGTTGTATATTGTATATAGAATTTATAGCCAAAATAGGAGACAACAGTCAATGCAAGAATCGATGAAGTGGTAATTGCGACTAATCTGCAGTTCATTTTGATACAGAAATGTTTTTTACGTGCTTGATGTAAAAATGACAGTGAAATTTTGATAAAGATTTTTTGCAATCCTGACTGAGATTTGATAATTTTAATGTGGAAGTTTATAATGAAAATTCTTGTTTTAATCACACAAATCCTGCCAGAATGAGAGCTTTTGAAAGAAACTTTTCTCTTCTATCACTTCTGGAATTTCTTCAATTGGTGGTTCCGCTGCACGAATCTGTACAAATTCTTTCGGACTAATGCTATAGCATGTAGCTTTGAGCAACTCTTTAGTGATTAGGGCTAAAGTTGCTGCTGCAAAAATATAGATGGGAACTCGAAACTGAGACATTACTGAGAATTTTGATTTGTTAAGCCAAAGTTGAGTTTTGAGGTTTTTAAGAAATTTGTTACGATTGCTTTGAGTTAAAATCGAAAGAAAATAACGGTTTAAATTGTGTCTCAAAACCCTATAAATGATTGAAACATTCAAATTTTCTAAAGCCGTTAAAATTTGAGTTTCTAATTTCTGTTAAATTCTGAAAAAGAATTGAAGTTTCCATTTTCACATAATATTAAGCGAAAGTCACTTCCAAAATATTCACACTAATAATTCTTAACATAAATCATACTTTATGTTCATTTAATACAGAACAAAACATGTGGAATAAAGAAAATGTTAAATCTTTATCGAAATTCCCGTCCACACCTTGCTGATTCCACTCCTTAAAATTTTTATATTCCAAACGTTGATTAAAAATCGAATTTTCTCGTCAGTCCTTTCTGTGAACTCTTTAGGCAGACATAAAATTATAAAAGTAAATTATTGCTGGCTGAAAATGGGAAATAAGATCATAACTTTCTCACACGAGCAGCTTGATCATTATCAAGATTGCACATTTTTCAATAAGAAAGAGATCCTCAAGTAAGATGTTGTATGTTATTTATTAAATTGTGGATGTAAAGCTTTAATTTCATTTAAGGGTCTTCAAAAAGTTTAGAAATTTGGCGCCAGACTTAGTTCCATTAGAGATGACTACATCCGAGGCATTAAAAATACAAATCCCAAAGGAAAGGATCGTCAGATTAGCTGAATTGATTGAAAATCCGTGAGAAAATAATTTTTTTTAAAAGTTTAATTACATTCTTAATTGGCATCACGTTTGCTGATCCTATATCCATTATTTTTATTCAGTTTTGCAGAACGAGTTTGCGAATCATTTTCCAAAGATGGATATGGAAATTTGAACTTTGAGGAATTTCTTGAGTGCCTATCTGTTTTTTCAGAGCATGCACCAAGAGATTTGAAGATCTTCTATGCCTTTAAAATTTACGATTATGATGGAGATGATGTAAGTGCAGTGAAAACCATACAAATTATTTCTGAACATTTGAACAGTTTTAAGACATTGAAAATTTGAAATTTCAGTTTATCAGCGAAGGTGATTTACGTCTCGTGCTGAAAGATTTAACAAAAAACGAACTTACTAATGATGAGCATGCAAAAATAACGGAAAAAATTATCGAGGAAGGAGACATTGACAATGGCAAGTACCTAATCAGAATTTACGATAAAGTTTTAATTAACAAGAAACTTAATTTTAGACGGAAAGCTATCATTTCTGGAGTTTGAAACTGTTTTAAAAAGATCACCGGATTTCATCAATACTTTCCACATTCGCATTTAAAAGACATCCTTAAATTTTACACACAAATAATTTAATTTACATTATTATTAGCTATTTCACATAGTAGTACGCAATCAATACAAAAAACAGCACAAATCCGTAGTTAAATTAATTATATTGAACTTTCTTGCTGCTTTTTACGCAGGTTTTTGTTAATTACATTCGGCTTATCTCCCCTACATTGCGGGCAGAACCTGTAGAATAGAAATTAATGAATAAATGTCACAAAACCATTATTATGCCATTTTATTGCTTACCATCGTCCTTTAGGCTTCGCTGTAAGATCAACGCAACTGAAATGGAACCACTCAATTTTACAACCATCATTCTCACAGAAAATCATCTCGCCATATGAAATTTGTTGACATATACAGTATGTTGTCTCATCAGTAATTCCTTCTTCTTGAATCACTTCATCCATTGCCTCTTGTGCGCTTTGTGCAAGCTGCTTCTTTGTTGGTTTTCGTTTTTTCGCCTTTTTAGTTGCATTTGTAGATGATGCTCGCTTTGTAGCATTTCCTGTAGCCTGTTGTGACTTTTCAATTGTCTTTGCTGGTGGTAATAAGCTATCGTCCGTTAAATCAACGTCCAAATTATCAATTCGTGTTTTTCGAACTCGTTTTGTAGTCTTCTCAGGACATTCAGGAGGTATACTGATTGTGGGTGTTGGATTTGGTGAAGTTGGAGTCTGTTTTGTACTATTTGTAGCAGTTTGTTGGATTGTAGATACTGGTATACTTTTTGGTGTTGGACTTCTTTCCTGCTTAACAACGAGATTTTGTTGATATGAATCAGCAACTGTTTTTAATCTACTTTCAATATGTGATGTTAATGATTGACTCAGCTGTATCTTTTCGTCCTTTAATTCGGTTATTTTAACTAAAATTTGTTGCATTTTTAATGATGACTTCTTATCGGATTGCGTAGTCATTTTATCGCACATCTTTTGTACTTCTGAAATTAAATCTGGAAAAAAATTATTTAAATTAATTTATATGAGTGTCATAAATTGACTTTAATTCACTGACTTTTTGTCTTATAATCCACTTCTCTGCATTTAGTGATCAATTGTTGCATATAATTCGGAACTTCTTCTACAAAATCAAGATAATTTTTCAGGAAAATTCCCGCGTCATACATTGTTTACTATTAAATCCACTTGTTCCTCTATTAAATTGATGTAATTTGATTTCCTTAATTAAGTTAATATAGTTTTCCTTGGAATATATGCACTTTTGACTTAAAATTCCTATTAAATTTAATTTTTCAACTTATCAAAAAGCTAATATAAATTTGTTTGTAAATAAAAACCTTTCATAATTGACTTTCAGATGTCGCTTCATGTGCTGTGCTATCTTTTTAAATATTCGCAATTTTTTAACTTCCTCTCTCAAGCATCCAACTTGAATAAATGAATTATTTTCACCAGCTACATTTCTTCTGGATCTTTTTGTTATTGTGTAAGTGTTATTATTGTGTTTTTTCATGGACATGATCGATATTAGAGAAATTCTCAACACCTATCGTTTCCAGCTGTTTGATATTAAATACTTAAAGTCTATGGAATTGTGTTTAATTATTGAACCATTTTTTAATAGTGAAATAGCTTAATTAAACGAGATTTTCAATGAAATAATTTTTCAAGACACATTATTAACCTAGGATTGCTTTGCACAAAATTCAAGTTTTAAGTAACAGTTAAATCAATATTTTTTATTTTACTTCCTTTAATTATTTTACATATAACATTGATCAACTTCAAACTGGACGATTCTCCTTAGCTTTAAATTGCATTATCAACAATTTAAGGAAAGATATTTTACTTTCATTTGTCTTCAAAAATAATATTGTGAATACCCTTTCTCCTCAGCTCATTAATGCCAGTACTATGATGCACTTGCGAGTAACTTGTACTTTGTGAGTGGCCTTTCATAGCTATAAGAATTGAATAATTAATCTACAGAAAATCAATTTAGAAAAAGCATCTTACCTATCCACGTCACGGTCTTTAAATTAATTAAAGATGTCATTACTTTTGACACACGTTCAATTTGTGTTCTATTGACATTAGGTAAGTGATAAATACAGTTGAATACTATCATCATTCTCGATAAATGAGATTCTAAGATTTCCATTCTAAATTCTAAATTATCATATTCTTCTACATTCTCTACAAATGCGTCAGCACTGGAAACAGTGTCCAAAAAGAGCAGAAAAGGCTTAAATGCAGCCATAATTAACAAAACACACAGGAACAAGTAATCGCAATGTTTGGTAGATTCAACCTGAAATTTTTGAACTTTTATAATACGTTGAAAATCATTAAAACTTTTAGCATTTTTTTAGTCATTTTACAGCATAATTAGCACATCATTCACCGATAAATGATGAACATTTTATTAATTAAAACACACATTAAGCATAAAAAAAATTGAATAGAATACAAATTTAGGAATGCAAAGGACTTTATTTCTTCTTCTTCTTTGACAAGCTAACATCTTGGGCCATGATTGGTGCTGATGTATGGAATTTCTGAGAAATAGCATTCAAATAGTAGAGGGCGATGAACGAGAATAAAATACATGTGGTCACAGCAACTCGATGAACAGTTGAGCATGCAAAGCAAGCAGTAAGTAGGCATATAAAAACTTCTGGGAACCAACGAGACTGAAAGCCTTTACCCAATATTAGAGTCTCTAAATTTGAAATTGCCTGTAAATAGCAATAAATGAGTATACTTGATTAATTATGTGGAAATCGACTTACAGTCAGTGCCAATATGAAGAAGAGAGACCCGATGAATCCAGCCAGAAGAGTCAATGACTGAGACGAAGCAAAGAACTTTTTGCAAAATTGTAGAGCCGCAAATACTAAAATGCTCGACAGGAAAGATACGATGAACGATAGAGATGTTTGGACAGCTTTAAATAATAAATCAGTGTGTTAACTTTATAGATATGAAGATATATTAATGCGAAATTACCCATCTTATTAGTTAAATTAAGATTTTATAATTTTTTGAATTCTACACGTATTTATTTACTTTTATGCCGATACAGCCAGGGTTTGTCAACATGTTTCTCATGAACGTAGCATACAAAGTTGATCAAAATGTAGTTGACGCCCCCTTTTTCCTAGAAGTAAACACAAATTTTACAAATTAAATTAATTATACAATAATGCAAGAATCAAATACAATGAACAACGTCTAGTGATATTATCGATTGATAATGAACTCTGTGGCACTAATTAGCATATTTTTAATTACATTTAAGTTAGTTTTAAGTCAGAATTCATGCAATATTAAGGAAATATTTGTGATTAAAAATAATGTTTGTGAAATTAATGAGATTCCAATAGACGAGAATGATTCTAATAAGCCGGATCCAATATATATTATGTATTCGGTGAATCCAGTTGAAGGATTTAACTTACGAAGAGATGTGTACTTAAGAATGGCAATATTTGTTAAAAACTTAAGAAAATTTAAAGGATATGAGCATGCACAGCTTGTACTACCCATATTCCATCACTTATATCACTGGAAGTCTCAATTTCGCCAAAATAACATTTTTTGGAACAACTTCTTTGATATACCTAGTTTAAAGCTATTCACCAACATTCTTGATATGTGGGAGTTCTTTGACATAATGCATGAAACCAACAAGAAAGATATAGAAATAGGTGAGACATACAAATTACAGCATTTTGAGAACATGTTCGAGAACGGCGTATTTGTTGATAAATTTGAGGAAGCAGTTTGCACTCGTCACGATTATGACAACTATCATTATATGGAATATTATAATATAACAGAGAAGACAATCACTTGTATAAATTTTCAAGGAAGCGTAATGTTACTTAAAGACATTCTCGAAGAGTACAAAGACAAATATCATGTACCAGGAACTCCTAGAATCATTTTATTTGCTCATGCTGAGACAGCGCTGCACGAGTTTTTCGGTGGTGATGAATATTGGATGGCAAGAAGATCTATGAGATTTAATAAAGCACTTCAAGGCATTGGATATGCCTTTAGATCTGACTTTTTTGGTTCGACTGATGAAAATGATCGTGTTCAAAGACCAGAGTTGTGGACAGACGAAAAGGTAAATCACTTAAATCTTTAAATGACGTATCTATAAAAATTGTCATTTTCTTTCCAGCCTTACAGACAAGCAATAGGCGGTGATTACCTTTGTGTTCATATGAGACGAGCAGACTTTGTGTATGGACGTGAAGCACAACTTCCAACTCTTAGGAGTGTCGCAAATCAAATAAAACGAGCACTGGCTGAATTAGGCTTGCATAAAGTCTATTTGTCAAGTGATTGTTCAGGCTCAGAATTTCACGACATGAAAGCATTCCTGCGCGGTGTGAATCTTTATAAATTTAAGCCTCCATGGGAATATCATGTACAGTTAGGAGATGGTGCTGTTGCCATAGTCGATCAAATCATTTGTTCTCATGCCAGAAAATTTATTGGAACCTTTGAGTCGACATTCACTTATCGTATTTATGAGGAACGAGAAATTCTTGGATTTCCACAAGACATGACCTTTAATACTCTTTGCAAACGTGACGATTTGTTGGATTGTAATAGGAACTCAATATGGCCTATTAGGTACTAGAAAGATTAATTCTAATCATTAATTTTAGTTTTTCTCATCGACAACCAAAAACTTAAATAATTTTACTGTCAGAACTTGCCTAATTTAATTTAATGTGAAATGTAACTTCAAATGTGCAATAAAATTAAATATGTAAACAACAAACTAGGTAAACGTTTCCAAAATTTACTTAACCAGTCAATCCTCAAAGAGGGAAATAAAAAGCTTGTTCCTTGATATTTGTCAATTAATAAATTACTTTAAATTATTGATACTTAATACTGTCCATCATATGAATCGAATAAATGTATGCCAATATAAATATGCCGAATTATGTAAAATGAAAGAAAACATGCACGCAACGGAACAGGTTTGGTTTTGAAAAAACTATCCAGGCAGTTCGTCATGTAAAGTGAATTCAACAGAAGTGGATTCAAACTCGATAATGAAGGAGCTTTATTTAATTTTAATAGTGCTTTGTGATTATTCTTACGGATTTTTACGTCTACAAAGAAGTTCATCAAGTAATCTTACTAATGAATCGAGGATTCTTCTTTTCTATGGGTAGGTAAATTAGTAATGTTTTACTTAATACGAAATAAATAGTTGAGTGAGGTTGTTGTACAGGATTCAAAAATTGAAAACAAATGATTCGTTGATAACAAGGTTGAATTGTCTTCAGGACACACACCCACATTCTGCATTATTTTTGATTTGCAACATTCAAATGATTTCAAGTCCAACATGTGCGTTATCACCAAATTTTAACTAGTGAGACTAGTTAAAAATAATACATTAAATAAGTTAAAAGTGTGCGAATATGTATAGTTTTTGTTAAGCAGTACGTGTTCAGAAGTCGATACTTACAGATTGAATAATTAAAAAGTAGATTAGAGCTCGATATGCGAGAGTTTTACATAATTTTAGCAGTGTTTTGTGATTATTCTCTTGGATTTTTGTCTTTTAAAAGAAGTTTGTCAAAGGATATTGTAAATTCATCGCGAATACTTCTTTTTTATGGGTTGTTTCAGAATCTGAATTGATTCAACAGAGTTTAAGATTAATTTTTATTTAATAAATTGAAATGGAATTAATATAAATTTTGGATATACATCAGTATTACTTTAATAATTGCTTAATTATTCACGCAGATAATTTTACTTATGATTTCAATGAACTTTAAATCAAATTTACTGCAGCTAAGTGTGAAATTAACAATCTTTAAAAATCAAACTATATAAAAACTTACACATCAACTGGAAAATTGACCAAAGAAATTTCAATACTAATTTAATTCCGTTACTAAAAGTATTAAATGGAATCACAAAATTGATACTTTTAGAATTTCCAAACTCTCAGACTTGATAATTTAGTAATCTCAAACATCCTTTCTTTCGAATATAGAACAACTTATGATAACCACCAACCATTTCCATTATCATCATCTCAAGAACTTTTAAACCATCCGCAATTTGATCTAATGAAAAAGACAGTCCTATACTTACATGGTTATAAACAGCATATCGACGATGATAATATCCGAACGACAGTAGCTGCATATCAAACAAGAAATGATTACAACATTTTAGTACTTGATTGGATAAGCATAGCCAATGGAGATTACATGTTCAATGCACTTCCTAATCTGGTTCCTGTATGTAAATTGCTTTTTAAAAATTTATTGTTTCTAAATGCTGTAATCGATAATTTTAGTTCTCAAAAATCATGACTGATGTCTTGATAAACTTATTCACTCAAGGCTTAAATATTAAAAAATTTCATCTCTTGACACACTCACTTGGATCTCAACTTGCTGGTATGGTTGGAAGAGAAATAAAGCAAAAATCAAACAGAAAGCTTATTTTAAAAAGAATCACGTGCCTTGATCCAGCGTTTCCTGGATTTTACCCACCTGCAGCATTATTACAAGCTGTGAATAAGAATGATGCTGAATTTGTAAGTTTTTACTACGCTAAGGATGTAAATTATTAAAAATTCAATTCCTTAGGTTGATGTGATTCATACAGAAACAGGCACATATGGAACGCCTTTCTCAACAGGAACTGTAGACTTTTGGGTAAATGGATTAACACTTAATCAACCAGGTTGCCCATCTAGAAATTTCAGACTTTTAGATCACAATGATTTGTGTTCACATTGGCGATCGTGGAGATTTTGGGCTGAAAGTGTATCAAGAGAAGCAAGTAAATTTTGGTCTCAAAAATGCCAACAATTCTGGTTTTTCAACAACAAATGTGATAGCAATAAACTTGTCAGCATGGGAATCGATTGTCCATCAGGGTGAGCTTTTGAAGCTTATAAAGTTTGAGAATCTTAATTTGATTTTTTGTTCAGAATCACTGGGAATTATTACTTGAGAGTTCGTGCGGAAAGCCCATATTCATATTAATTTTAAATTTATCTGTAGTTAAGAAGCAATAAATCTATTCAAGAGAACTATTTATGATTTATTCTAGACATAAGTTGAAGATATCAAAAATAATTAACTTTCCCTTTCATCGTCGGTAGCTTGTAATAATGTTCGCATTTCTGCAATGAAATGTGAATCATTTAAAGTATTTTTTTTCTTGATGGTTAGCATTAACCTTTAAATGAAATCACAAATCGCTCATGATGCTTGTTATTTCTTGCTTTAATGATTCTATGCTCTTTTACTTCTCTAGCTTTTAATGACATTCTTCGTTTTCATTTCACTCAATTAATTGTAATGTTGATGCTAAGCTGTATGACACTTTGATGTTATAATTTGCTAGGTGCAATCTTTGTAGCTATTTTAAGTTTGTTTCGAATAATTTGTTGAAAAAGTCATGACTCTTTAGAAGCTGCAGTAAGTGCGAGGAATTATTTTACATAGAGAAATGCGCTTTAACTTCCAGCTTTCAGTCAATGATTTTCAATAAATATGGATTCATCACCTTTCAATAGAAATTAAAATAAATAGCGAGTATACAGACAACTGTTAGCATTTAAAATTGATGCATCATACATATAAGGAAGATTCTCATTTGTGCATAAGCTCTTTTTTTATCCGATTATTGACATTCCTACATGATTTACCATTAACATGCAATTTAGTACCTGTTTTTATAGCATAAAGTGAAAACATTCAATTGTGCATTGAGCATTGCATCTTGAACCTTTTCTTTGCATTAGAAATTGCCCTTTTTATATGCGAGAGCAATTCAAGCTTAATTTATGATATTTGTTATGCTTACTTTTATTGTTAGTAAACGAATACATAATATGTCGTTAAGTTAATGTTATAAGAGTAGTTAATAGCGAAATAGATGACGAAGAAATCTATTAAGATTGAAGAAATTAATTTCATAGTAAAGTGGGTTTTATTGCTATGCCTAACTCAATAGTTCAAACGGTTTTTAAATTATTACCGAATTTAGAATGAGTGTTCAACCTTTAATGTTCTGTCTGCATAGTGATTTTGATTACTGTTTAAAATCTAGATGAAATTAGAATAAGCATAAGAAGTACAGACAAAATTTCTTACTACCGTTTGAGCGAAGAAGAACATTGAATAGCTTTCTGTTAAATTTAGCACTTTCTTCTGCCAAATGTAATGTATAATTATTGTTTGAGTGAATATAAAGCTTTTGGGGATTTTCCATTTAAGAAATCGTACATAAATTATGTTCAAAAATAGAATCTTTAGATAGAATAGAACTAAATTTCAGTTATAAATCTTCCTATTTAAAGAATGTAAGATCTCATAAAAGAACCGATCTCTTATTATGTCACAAAAGTCCCTCAAATTTTGTTTTAAAACTTTTACAAAAAATTTAACCTAAGATTTGTACGGAGCTGATGAACACCCCCTAAGTTATTGACCTTCATCATGCTGATCATTTTAATTCATTACTCAAAGAACTTTTCATGCTACCGAAAACTTTTTACATAATTTTCATTTAATTAATATTTTATTTTAATTTCTGTGAATCACATTTTCTTGTTGATCGCTTAAAACTATTGATCTATTTGTATTTTGAGAACAGCTTGAATTATGAAATTTTAACGATATTATGAAACTTATGAAAATGGCAATTCATTCTTCTTATGTTAATACGCATAAGAAGCTGTTCTTTTAAACTATTATTGCATATTATTGATTTAAATAAATAAACTGGACATGAAATATTGTGAAACTCTGCATGAATCATTTAGTTATGATATTATTTAAAGCGTGAGAAGCTTCATTGGTCAATTGAGTAATAACAGAATTAGATCGCAAAGATTACTTTTCACAGCTAGAGCTATGAAATTGACTAATGTGTGGTCCAAGCAATATTTTGTGTCATTCTTATTGACAAAGTCAAATATGTTTTCAAAGCCCAAAGAATTGAATCTGTTTCACAAGAATATTTGTCAGAATAATATGAAGTCGTCTGCAAAAACTAGATTACGTATAAAAAATCAGTCTTGAATTAACCACAGATACTTTAAGCACTGTTCTAATTTAATATCTGCTCATGTCCATTTTCAAATTATTAACAAAGGGAATGCTTGCAATTGCTTTAATTAAATCCTCAACTGCGATGTTATAAGCCGTTCTGATCAAACTGTGTATTTAATTAAATAATTAAAATTGGCAGAATCCAAAAAATGAGAGTCATGTTAATTAGTTCTTCCACAAAGACTTTGTTTAACAATGGACAAAAGACTCAAGTACGAGAAATTTGTTAAATGCATGACTTAATGCGAGTACATTAATTCCCACGATTTTAATAATTATTTATAAGTCGTTACAATCTGAGGCATACGTCCATATATAAATCAATTGTTTCTAATTGTTACCCATAATCATCATTTGCTTTCTATGAATTATTATGACAAGTAAGACGATCCCAAGATTTCTTCGCGTGAAATTCTGATTTCCTTTTTCAATTATTAGTTTTATCAAATGCAGAAAAATTCCTACTTTCCTTTTCTACTTTTGGAATTGTTACTGTTTATTGCTGTTTATTGTGATCAGATCACTTACTTAATCATGATTCAAGTATGACAACACAGATTTGATACAAAGATAGGGTTTCGGGAACCTGTTAACAGAAAACAGAAAAACAGCTGTTTTTCAAAAAAAAATCTGTTAACAGAAAACAGGTCTCAAAAACAGGTCTGTTTTCTGTT